CTCGAATAGCCAAAGCAATCTTGAGAAAGAAGAATGGAACTGGAGGAATCAACCTGCCTGACTTCAGACTATACTACAAAGCCACAGTCATCAAGACAGTATGGTACTGGCACAAAGACAGAAATATAGATCAATGGAACAGAATAGAAAGCTCAGAGATAAATCCACGAACCTACGGACACCTTATCTTCGACAAAGGAGGCAAGGATATACAATGGAAAAAAGACAACCTCTTTAACAAGTGGTGCTGGGAAAACTGGTCAACCACCTGTAAAAGAATGAAACTAGAACACTTTCTAACACCATACACAAAAATAAACTCAAAATGGATTCAAGATCTACATGTAAGACCAGAAGCTATAAAACTCCTAGAGAACATAGGCAAAACACTCTCCGACATAAATCACAGCAGGATCCTCTATGACCCACCTCCCAGAATATTGGAAATAAAAGCAAAAATAAACAAATGGGACCTAATTAAACTTAAAAGCTTTTGCACAACAAAGGAAACTATAAGCAAGGTGAAAAGACAGCCCTCAGATTGGGAGAAAATAATAGCAAATGAAGCAACAGACAAAGGATTAATCCCAAAAATATACAAGCAACTCCTGCAGCTCAATTCCAGAAAAATAAATGACCCAATCAAAAAATGGGCCAAAGAACTAAACAGACATTTCTCCATAGAAGACATACAGCTGGTTAACAAACACATGAAAGGATGCTCAACATCACTCACTATCAGAGAAATGCAAATCAAAACCACAATGAGGTACCATTACACTCCAGTCAGGATGGCTGCTATCCAAAAGTCTACAAGCAATAAATGCTGGAGAGGGTATGGAGAAAAGGGAACCATCTTACACTGTTGGTGGGAATGCAAACTAGTACAGCCACTATGGAAAACAGTGTGGAGATTTCTTAAAAAACTGGAAATAGAACTGCCATATGACCCAGCAATCCCACTTCTGGGCATACACAATGAGGAAACCAGATCTGAAAGAGACACATGCACCCCAATGTTCATTGCAGCACTGTTTATAATAGCCAGGACATGGAAGCAACCTAGATGACCATCAGCAGACAAATGGATAAGGAAGCTGTGGTACATATACACCATGGAATATTACTCAGCCATTGAAAAGAATTCATTTGAATCAGTTCTAATGAGATGGATGAAACTGGAGCCCATTATACAGAGCGAAGTAAGCCAGAAAGATAAAGAACATTACAGCGTACTAACACATATATATGGAATTTAGAAAGATGGTAACGATAACCCTATATGCAAAACAGAAAAAGGGACACAGATGTACAGAACAGACTTTTGGACTCTGTGGGAGAAGGCGAGGGTGGGATGTTTCGAAAGAACAGCATGTGTATTATCTATAGTGAAACAGATCACCAGCCCAGGTGGGATGCATGAGACAAGTGCTCGGGCCTGGTGCACTGGGAAGACCCAGAGGAATCGGGTGGAGAGGGAGGTGGGAGGGGGGATCGGGATGGGGAATACATGTAAATCCATGGCTGATTCATGTCAGTGTATGACAAAACCCACTGCAATGTTGTGAAGTAATTAGCCTCCAACTAATAAAAATAAGTGAAAAGAAAAAATAAATAAATAAATAAACATAGTGTGACTTAAAGGAATACTTTATTTGTTTAATAAAGAATACTGACAGTTTGTTTTGGCTTATTAAATTATTTAGTAAACATTCACATATTTTATTTGAATGGATTTTTGTACTCTTTCCTCAAACATGTTTTAGTGATTTATTTTCACTCATCACATTAATGAAAGAAATGTTGAATGATTAATTTAAATGTTTATTTTAAAAAGTGACCAGAAGAAAATGTTTTAGGAGATGGAAATTTTGGAACAGCACATATTTAAAGACGAAGAAGCAAAAAATGTTGTGATATGTGGTATTAAATTCCACTGTCCCTGAAAACAGTCATCAAGCCTTTTATATTTGCTCAATTTATAACTTATAGATGGCACTCCAGTGCCAATTATAAAAACATATTTTGGAGGGTTGCTAAAAGTTTGTAGAGGCAGCTTTTATTGTTAACAGATACATTTATGTACAGGCTTTTCTGACCTTGGATAAACAGTGTATTTGCTCAGATTCAACATTATTTATTTGAGCACTTAACATAGAGGTGAATACTATAACATCACTGATACTTCATTTATTACTAAGAACAATGCACAGAGGTAGGTTTTATTATTACTCTTATTTATACCAAATAGGAAACAGAAGTTTGAAGACATTGCATATCTTAACAAAAGTTCTTTATTTTTAAACAGTTAAGGAAGATGTATTCTATTGCTTTTCCACCAGGAGGTTATGAAGTCTTAAATTAGTGAGTAGAATGGGCTTTCCCCCCCATCTTTCCTGCAGTTCTTCCTTTAGCAAAGTCTCTTTCATCCCCAAATAATCTGATTGTTTTCTCTCTGAAGTACTACAGCAGTAGTTCTTCAAGCATGATCCTGGCCCAGCAACAGTACAGAATTACCTGGCAACTTGTTACAAATGCAAATGTCTCAGATCTACCAGACAAGCCCTGCTGATTCTGATGCACACTGAAGTTTGAGACTCATCGCTCTACAGAAATTTCTCTCTAAACAGTCTCTGTCATTCTTAATTCCAAATCTACCAGTGAGCTGAGTATTCATGCAACTTTCCTCTGTGGTGGCATTTAACAGAATTCATCTCTATCTCAATCTTAAAACTATGTTATTTTCTAGAACATGTTTTTATCTGATCACCTAAGGTTCCTAAATTTTCTTTTTATGTTTCTTTTTTATTCTAATTATTCATTTAATCAATTCCCAGGACCCAAGCTTCTGGTCCCATCACTTCATGGCAAATAGATGGTGAAACAATGGAAATAGTAACAGACTTTATTTTCTTGGGCTCCAAAATCACTACAGATGGTGACTGTAGCCAAGAAATTAAGACACTTGCTCCTTGGGAGAAAAGCTAGGGCAAACTTAGACAGCATATTAAAAAGCAAAGATATTACTTTGCTGACAAAGTTCTGTCTAGTCAAACCTATGGTTTTTCCCGTAGTCATGTATGGATGTGAGAGTTGGGCCGTAAAGAAGGCTGACCTTCAAAGAATTGTACTGTACTACAGTTGTATTGTACTTCAAAGAATCTGAACTGTAGTGTTGGAGAAGACTCTTGAGAGTCCCTTGGACAGCAAGGAGATCAAACCAGTCAATCCTAAAGGAAATCAATTCTGAATATTCATTGGAAAGACTGATGCTGAAGCTCCAATACTCTGGCCATCTGATGCAAAGAGCTGACTCATTAGATAAAACACTGATGCTGGGAAAGCCTGAAGGTAGGAGAAGGTAATAAGAGAGGACAAGATGGTTGGATGGCATCACCGACTCAATGGCCGTGAGTTTGAGCAAGCTCTGGGAGATGGTAAATGACAGGGAAGCCTGACGTGCTGCAGTCCATGTGTTCGCAAAGAGTTGGACACGACTGAGCAGCTGAAAAATAACAGCAAGTATCACACACATACTCCTGACTTCCAAATTCCTATCTCCTCCCTAGATTTTTGTATTAGTTGAATTACTTAGTCATTAACTCAATATCTGATACTGTGCAGCAGTCACAGTCAAGCAGCATTTGTTGGAGATACTAAAGGAAAAGAGATAAACAATAGCCCTTGCCCTCAGAGGCAGATAATTAAAATCTGTAAATGCCCATAGGACATTAAACCTTGATGTTCTATAGGTCTTATCTCAACATGATCTGATTTATGAAAATCACCTTTGTCCCTAAATTTAATTTTCCTTTTGAGTCTGACAGAAGTTAAAAAAATACTGTCAGTCACACTGAAACTGTAACTCCCTTTCCTTCACTCCATATATGCACCAACCTTCTCCAACCAAGTCTTCTTTAAAAATGTGTCTCATAAGCATCTCCCTCCCTATGGCCAATGTTTTGGGTCCTGCTCTGACCATACTATACTAGACATAGTATATACTATACCACAATAGATTCCTACCTTTTTCCTATCCCTTTTCCCATTGCATTTTCTTTCACAGTGCTGTCCAACTTATTTACCTAAGACTAGAGATTTTGAGATTTTGTTATGTCTTTGTCCTGCTTGAAAACACACAAATAACAAACAGCACAGTTCAATAGCTCACAATTGCCCACAAAAACCAAACTCTTAAATAAAACATTTAAAATCCTTCTAAATGTGACTTCAACTTCCCTCTCCAGCTATATGCCTCCACCTCCCTGGGCTATTTCACCAACATGCCATCCACTGTCACTCTGCTATTGCTCTCCTGAGCTATGTCCCTGTGTGGGGTGACTTTATCAATACCTCTTCCTCTGGCAGCATCTCACATCAGGACTCTGCTTCAATGTTATCTTTTCTGTAAACATTTCCTGACTCTCTTAACAACCTTGTTCCCAAACCAGACAAAATTAATAGCTCCCTCTTTAACACTCCTAATATATTTTGTTGATGGCACTTACAATGCCCCAGTGGATTTTAAACAACTTGAGATAAAGGATTATATTAGTTCATCTGTGGATGCCTGGCATCCAGCTCAGTGCTTGGCATATTAGTAGGTGTTTAATAGATAGAGGTAGAATTGATCTAACCCAATTTTAATATTTTGGTTTTCAAGTTGCAGCCATCTGGAAGCAGAAGTTTAAAATACTGATTAAAAGGATGCCGGTTTTGTTGCAACCTCCATTTCTCCTTCATACATAGTATCAGAACTCACAATTTTTGGCTGGACTCTTGGCTCTTGGAATAGAAACTACAGTTCTCAGCTTCCTTGCAGCAAGGTGTGGTCATTTTTAAAACTCTGGATGGTAACATATAAGCAGAGGTGGCATGGCATACTTCTGGGAAGGCTGAAAGGGAAAGCCCTGGAATGTGGACATAATTGCTGGACCTCCAACCTTGACATGCGTGGCTACTTTGGGAGTGCAGGCCTTGTAAAGCACAGCAGCAGGACGATGGAGCCTCGGCCCTCTCCCCGTGGACTCAGCGTGCCACATCAGATCCAGCTGCATTATCAGGTGGATATGAGACAAGGAAGTTAAGAGTCCACAGTTTTAAACTGTGTTTTATTTATTTGCTGAACCCAATTTTTAGTGATACAATTTTAAAATACTGATATTTATATTAAAATATTTAACAAAACACAGTTTATTTCCCTTTTAAACAGAGAGGTTAAAATGTGATTTAATCTTTTTATGATCAACAAGCATCACAGAGCTATGATGATACGCGACACCGTCCAGGAGGCCACAGTTCCCTCTTGCGGGGACTGTGCTTCCTTGTCAGCTCTACCACCTCTAGTGTGCCTGCATCTACAAGGTAGGACGATATTCCTTTAAATTTTTTTCTATCTTCTGAAGCATTCACCTATATAAAGTTTCACATTCTCATTCTCCAATAATGACCCATAAAGGAAGTATCACTATATTTGAAAAAATGAGTTCCCCTCCCACATCTGCATATATAAAGCATCAAAGGAGAAGACAACTTTGAAACCATGCACCCCACTGTAAGTCCATAAACCCTTATCTGTTCACAAAGACAAAAAAATGAAAAATAAACACTTAAAAAAGTTACAGCACTTTTGAAATTTCTGTGACAGGCAAGCCCATAACAAGCAGTGTACTTGTTTCACTGAAGAGAGTGCAAACCAGTTTGGATGCCTTCTAATTCACTTAAGTCAAACGTGGCACGACCCGAGTGCATGTCATATACACCAAGACCATGTGTTAATTGAAAATGGGCTGACATTTTAAAAAAACTTCACAGAGAGTACAAAACACTGGTCTATATCTGGGGTCAGAACTTGGGGTTCCTGACTTCTGGCTCAGCATTGGCTGCCTTGGTCCTTTGCTGCTCTCAGGTGCTAACACTGATGTCACCAACCCACATCTCACCACCCGAGGGGCTTCAGACCCATTGTCTAAACACAGCTCTAAACCTACTGAATGCCTCTGATATCTGATTGGCTTCTCTGTGTCTGAACACCAGTTTTCATGGGGTGGACCCCATATACCTCGGTTCCAAAGACTGTTTCACCCTAGCATTGGCCTCTACTCCTACTGTCCCCTTAACACTATTCTCAATCCTGCTTCAAACTGACTAAACTAAACTATGAGTCTTTCTCTCATCCAGTTCTGAAAATCTCCATTGCCTAAAAGCCACTACAGCAGTGCTCACACTTCTTCAACAGAAAGAGAGAGAGAGATGGGGAAAGCACTTTAGATTCAACCCAAACTCATTTGAATCAATGGTCACCGTTTACTGGTCTGATGAAGTTGAATGACCAATTCACTGAGTTATTGTTGCATTTTTTAAAAGATTAGTTTTGGCGACTGTGCACAGCAGTAGTTTTTACAAATGTTTGGATAGGACAGCTCAGTTATCAGTTTCCTACATGATTTACATTTCAGATACTGAAGCAATTCTCTGGGACTTAGCATTTAAGATGTGGATGGAGGAGTTATCCTTTAAACACACTTTACATCATTTTATATTTCTTCAGGTGTCTGTCCTGGCCATGCCTCTGCTTCTGCTGGTGAAAAGGCTCTTTATGTACCTTCTCCACATGGTAAAAGATATATACCTGACAGTTTTCTGCAATTAGTAATCTGGCAAATTGTCAAAGAATTGATCTGCAGCCATCACCAAGTGCCACATCCTACCACACTTGAATTACATTTCCATTCAAGTAGCAAATGACTTCAGCAGCTGAAAGTGAACTTTGGGAGAAAAAATTGCCTCTACTAACATCACTGATTTTACATGTACTTTTGGTGTCAAAAGCACACCAAAACAATTACCTCTATATCACCTCCACCCCAAATAGTTGTTTCTTGTGGATTCTCTCCTTCTGCTTCAAAGAAGAGCCACAGCAGTTTGTGTAGGGATCAGGGGGTGGTAAGCTATCTGTATGCAGTATTTTACTTTAAAGTAGTTTCAAATATACTGTCTCATCTGATCCACATAATCTGATCCACATAATCAGTTAATGCATTTGCCAGGGTCCACATTACTTAGTTTTGTTTTTTTTTTTAAGTTGAGGAAACAGAGGCTCATCAAAGTTAAAAAACTTCCCTCAAAGTCATATAGGCAGCAAGTTAAAGGATCTGCACCAGAAAGAAAGTGAAGTTGCTCAGTCGTGTCCAATTTTTTGCGACCCCATGGACTGTAACTGACCAGGCTCCTCTGTCCATGGGATTTTCCAGACAAGAATACTGGAATGGGTTGCCATTTCCTTCTCCAGGGGATTGTCCCAACCCAGGGATTGAACCCCGGTCGCCTGCATTGCAGGCAGATGCTTTACCATCTGAGCCACATTGACTGTGGTTTCTGCACCAGAAACAACTTCTCAACTCTTTACTTCTTCACCCGGCCCTGATTCCTATTTGGGCATTTTTTAATATTTCTGCATGAAAGAATATCAGTGAAGTATTTTCACTGTCTTTATAGTATTTAGGTACTACCATTAGTTTGCCTCTGACTATGCTTTCCTAGCCCTATTAATATAGTTAACTTATTTTTGATGTTTTCATACAGTTCATTTAGCTGTAAACTCTTGAAGGTGAAGGCCAGTTCTTCTCCATGGTCAGTACTGTTCATGACATATGTGTCTCCTGGCACTCAAGGTATCCCCATTTAGTTTCTTTCTTTGGCTAGAGCCTTCCTTGGGTGCTTTGAATCTGGCCAGTGAGCATTAACCAATCAAACAGCTTCTACGGTTCTGGCAGGACTTCTAAGACCTTCTCTCACACAAAAGTTCAGGAACGAGACTAATAAGTCAGGCTATTTTAAACAATAAATACAACTATTCTAAGAACAGACAGCACAAAGGTTTTTCTAGTCTCTTTGAAGACTAGAACTATGGATCAACATGCAACAACCATCATCTCTCTTAAAAAGAGGAGGTTTTGCACTTTCTTCTCTTAACTCTATTTCTCATCTGGAAAATTTGAGTGTACTGGTGTTGAATCAACTATTCTAAATGGTATTACAATATACTGTTTGGTGAAAAAGTAAAATCCAAGAATATGTTGGGAAAAGAACTTAACAAGAAGGCTGCAACCACTTTAGAAGTGTAAAACTCCATCCACAGGGGAGTTGGGACACTAAAACTTCCATCAAAGCACATGAAAATGACATCAGTGGTCTGTTATCCCCTCATAAATGAACCAGACCTGGGCAAGGACGTTTGAGCAACATCAACCCTTGTCAAACCCTTAACAAAGTTTGACATCTGTTAAATCATTAAAGGGACAAATAAAATGTTAACCAAGACAGAAAAGGAAGGGAGAGTGCTGATAGCATGTATTAGGACTAAAAGTAAAAGGCCAGAAAAGACATGATTAATTTCTGGATTTGGAATATCTCTATAACTTGTTGGCTAAACCTTCCCAAGTTCCAAGTCACTGGAAACTACTCTGGCAATAAAAACACTATGGAGATCTGTAATAGATGGATTTAGGGCTTTTAACACTGATACAGCTGTTTTCACAATAAGTGGAGATCCTTTGGCTCTTCATATCCTCATCTTCCTCCAGACACCTTGTTTCAATTCCATGGAATGTAATTCTCCCTGACCTCAAAGAGACCTTTGTCCTTGAACCAGCTTTGTAAGAACAAAAACCAAACATTGGCCTATAGTACTTCATCTTAGTTTTTATACCTGATTAAACAGTGCACTCTTATTTTCTCTGTCCTTTTGAGTCTGGGGCATACCAGTCTGGTATCTCTTGTACAGAAAAGAGTGGGGTTTCCTTTCAAAACTTAGGACAGAGAAAAATCTACTGCTGTGTTGTGCAAGTTGCTTCAGTCATGTCCAACTCTTTGCAACCCCATGGACTGTAGCCCTCCAGACTCCTCTGTCCGTGGGGTTTTCCAGGAAAGAATACTGGTGCCATGAGTATTGACACCATGCCAACTGAGGTGCCATGCCCTCCTCCAGGAGATCTTCCTAACTCAGGGACTGAACTCACATCTCTTGCATCTCCTGTATTGGCAGACAGGTTCTTAACCACTAGTGCCACCGGGGAGTTCTCAAGAACTACTTGATACATCAGTTAGCATTACTTTCCATGACTAATACGTAACTTCTACAATATTGAAATTTATGAAAACAAATAAGCCTGAGACCTATATGATAGATGCACCATAAATGGATGGGGATAAATATGCATCCAAATCTAACTGGCCTGAAGGCGAACAGCAACCAACCTTCATATGTGGGTACATGAGGACATTCTGCAGCAACAAGGAAAGGTGCACAGGAAGTCATATGCCACATCTTTGGGCTGCCAGTCAAAGAAAGGACCTTTAGAAGGAATGGCTACAGTGCATTAGCTCATTCTTACACTGTGTGTGGGTTAAGCCGGGCATGGAAAATGCAGGAGAATGTACAGCAGGAGGAAAAGACAAGTAACCTGGACTACCGCAGCCGAACCCCATGCAGGCAAGAAGGAAGAACTCTGACAGGGCCTCCAACACGTTAAGACCTTAACATGTATGCAGGCCCAATAATGGGAAGTTGGGGTAAACATAAAGATGGTATCAGTAACCAGGGCAACAGGTAAGTTTAGCAACTTAATGGCAGCAAGCATTAGCAGCAGAAGCTCCAGAAGCACCAGTTTTCCAGGGAGGAAGTGCAGGAGTGCTGCACCAGTTGGCCAGGCTGAAGCTCTGGTTGGACCACCAGCACGAAGGGTTGCTCAGAGGAGCTCCAGTGACAGGTGAGCAGAGAGGACTAAGGCAGGGGCTGGGTTACAGGTCTCATGACCCAACTGATAGAGGAAGCAAGAAAATGCCTTACTGTGAGAATTTACTATAACCTCTTCCTACCACTATTCTTCTAGAAAATAATCTACTGGTTCTGCCTGCAGCCTTAATTCTGGAATCCATTAAAACCAACAGAAGAACTCACAGAGTACAGTAGTCTTCTCACTCCTTTCCCTTCCCCTGAGGGAGTTTCAGGCAGTTGGCAAACATGGCACAAAAACCATACCACACGAATAGTCCGGCCTCTCTAAACCCCTTCACATGGCCAGGTGGATCCCATTGCAGGCTGCAAGCCATACTCTGTACCCAATAACTGCATTATTAGGTGGGAAAAGTTCCATCACAAGAAAACATCATAAAGCTTGCTTCCTTTCTACCATATTCTGTGCATTTTCCAAGGAAAGGAGCTGTATATTTATTCTGGATCACTTGGCCTGTACTTCACAAACAACAAGGACAAGTGTGCTTCTTGGCATCTTAATCATGATGCCACGCCAACCTGGAACAAATTACCTGCCATTCTAAATGCAGTCAATCAATGCATAAACACCAAGATGTTTATGGCCTTTGGATGCTTACAATCATGTAGAACAGGTCACACATGCACATATACATCGCCATTCTTTTCTAAGATACAACTAATGTTGGAAAATACAAAGACTTGGATACGCTAGATTGATATTTGACCCATTATCAACCTTCAAACTTTAGCAGAAGAAATGTGAGAGTTTAGTGGGTACTGAGCAGGTGAAAGAGAACAAAGAAGGAAGAGGGATAAAAAGAGAGGACCTCTTGGGGGGCAACTGCCTGGATATCCTTAGGTGGTAGACCCGCAACAGAGACCCTGTCTCTGTAAAACCTATAACCACTACTGGATTCTTCACAAGTACTCAGTTTAGAAATTCTACACAGTAAGAGGCAGAGTGAGGTAGGGGGAAAGGGGAGGGTTATCTTGTATTTAGTTCCTGCCCCAAATCCTCAATACTTCTAAGATCACTGACTTTCTATAGTGATGGAAAAACTGTAGCTCCTGTCCCCTTCAAAAAAATACTGAAGAGAGCTAACTACCTTCTCTTGGAATTCATTCATGACTCACCTCATTACCAAGGTGACCCAGACAGTTGCCACTTCCACTGGTACCTAGGAATGGGGCTACTGCACAGCATCCACCTGTGGACCTGCAGCCTCAAGGACTGACATTTCTTATACTTGCTGGGTTAAGACAAGGTCTATCTTACCAATACCTCCTTCTCTCGCCAGAAAAATAACCATTACAGGTAATCAGGGAGAGTAAAGGAGCTCAGAGACCTTACTCATATGCCTGTACTGGCAGGTCTTCCAGTCGTAAAGCTTGGCATTCTTATTTGCTCTGAGGCCCAAACGGAGAAGTGCCATTGAATGCTTTGTGGCTATGGAAAAGGAGAAAGGAAACTAATGGTTGTGTTATTGTTAAGGACAATAAAGACAGCAGTTATGGCCTCACACAAAAAGTTTCTTAGTGTCAGGCTCAAAACTGGGAAAGGAATACATCAAGGTTGTATACTGTCACCCTGCTTACATAACTCATATGCAGAGCACATCATGAGAAATGCCAGGCTGGATGAAGCACAAGCTGGAATCAAGATTGCCAGAAGAAATATCAATAACCTCAGATATGCAGATGGCACCTTATGGCAGAAAGTGAAGAGGAACTAAAAAGCCTCCTTTTGAAAAAGGACAGTGAAAAAGCTGGCTTAAAACTCAACAATCAAAAGATGATGGCATCTGGTCCCATACCTTCATGGCAAATAGATGGGGGCAATAGAAACAGAGACAGACTTTATTTTGGGCTCCAAAATCACTGCAGACGGTGACTGCAGCCATGAAATTAAAAGATACTTACTCCTTGGAAGGAAAGCTATGATAAACCTAGACAGTGTATTTAAAAGCAGAGACTTCACTTTGCTGACAAAGGTCTGTCTAGTCAAAGCTATGGTTTTTCCAGTAGTCATGTAGAGATGTGAGCTGGACCATAAAGACGACTGTGCACACAAAGACTGTGTGCTTTCAAACTGTGATGCTGGAGAAGACTCTTGAGAGTCCCTTGGACAGCAAGGAGATCAAACCAGTTAATCCTAAAGGAAATCAATCCTGAATATTCATTGGAAGGACTGATACTAAAGCTCCACTACTTGGGCCACCTGATGCACAGAGCTGACTCATTAGAAAAGACCTTCATGCTAAGAAAGATTGAAGGCAGGAGGAGAAAGGGATGATAGAGGACAAGATGGTTGGATGTTATCACTGACTCGATGGACATGAGTTTGAGCAAGCTCTGGGAGATGGTGAAGGACAGGGAAACCTGGCATGCTGCAGTCCATGGTGTCTCAGAGTCAGACAGGACTGAGCGACTGAACAACCAGAATACCCTCTCCTTGTGGCCTATGGGATAGTTTGTCTCCACTTTATAAAGAAAACTGGGTCTCAGAGAAGCCTTGCCAAGGGTTACAGCAGATCCCTAAGTGCAAAAGCCAGTAATGTACTCAGATCCCTCTGATTTCAAAGTTTCTTCCAGACACTGAACTACTTCTGTGTAGAGAAGCAGCTTCAGTCTAATAAAGTAAAAACCACCCAAGAAGAGTACCTGAGTGTGTTGGAACTTGGGAGCCAGGAAGGGAAGAGGCAGTTGATCTCCCAAACGGAACAGCCGCTGCTACTAACATCATTACTATCATCATCATCACTAAAGTGATGGGAACAGTTGCTTAGTATAAAAAACTGATTAGATTTCTCCTTGTACATTATAAGCATCTTGTTTTGCTCTTTACTCTTGCTTCTAGGAAGCTCAGAGACAAACCCAAAATTCCTGTTTAGTAACTGTGCAGTAATCCACATGCATATCAGTATTTTCTTCTCATCTTGATCCTGGATTTTGATTTCTATTTTACTTGGTTCTAACCTTTACTCACCACTTATATATTTATTCATAATATATATTCTCATGAAAAACCTCAAAACTTTAGTGGAATAAGGTTAAGGTATGCATGACATTAATTTAAAAAATAATTTACCTGGGTGCAGCTTTCATCTGTAGCATCACACAGATTCTTTAGTCCTTTGAATTCTATTGCTAAAATATCTGAAGCAAAAAAAAAAAAAAGAAAGAAAATCAAGACACCATCTGGAGGCTTTGGAAAGACAGAGGTAATCAGGTCTTTGATCTGCTCTGCACATGGACTGGGAGAGGGAAATAGGACCAAATCTCCCTGACACAGACAATCATTTGCTTTATTAAACAAGTGTCTTGTATTACACACAGAATAGTGCGTTATATGGATGCACAAGAAAAAATGATGATGAAAAGTAGATACTGAGCATATTGAGTACTCTGGGTCTTGAAACATTAACATCACAGCTGTTTCTAATAATTTTTTCTCTAACTGCAAGCTTACTTCCACAACATGTTCTAATGTAACTGTAACTGCCCCAAAATGTTTTTCATTTTTTCAAATGAAGTCTTGTTAGAAATAACTATGCAACTGAGAGCCCATAGTCATCTTAGCTTACTACCCCATATACAGGTTATTTTGTATTCATTTATTGGTGTGTTATGTGATTCAAGATGGGACAGTTTGAAACAATCTAACCTACTTTTAAACTAGTGAAACGTGCCTTTTTAAACAACAAAACAACAACAAAAGCCAAGAAAACCTCACTAATGAGAGAAGTCAAGAAAGTTCATCAGTGGAGTGCCCTGCAGTTTTAAACGTAAATGACAACGAGCAGCTCATTCCTCAACTATCTGTATCTGGGGTACTGATGGTTTATACCATTAAAACTATGGGGTTAACCTAAACTCAGATGCAAATAATATATTAATATTCCTTTTAAGTTCTTCCTTCTATTTACCTTGTAATTCTTAACTGTCTCCCTCCATCCATGTAGCTTCTTTTTCTTCTAGATTTATAGCTTTGTAAAAAGTTTGGGGATGTCTTCAATTGCGACTCTCCCAGGAGGTTTGATCATCAGAGACCAATTTCTTCTCTGGGTTTGATTTTCCGATGAGACCCAGGGTCGCCTCCACCGTGTCCACAGCTCAGGACAACCTAGAGGGTCCCCTTTCAACCTGGGTTTTGGGTGACGCTCAGCTCCTGCTCCAGGCAGGAGTTTCTGAGTCTCTCGCTGGGGCAGCTGCCCACGGCGAGATGGTGAGGACGACCAAGAGCCTAGTACAGGGCTCCAGGAAGGCTGCTCTGCTCTAGGCAGGGCTCAGGGACAGTGCGGCCCAACTGTCCCCAAGGGCATCACGTGTCCTGGCCTGAAGCGTGGCAGGCTTCGCGGAACCTAAACGACCACCAGCCCCTCCTACTGGGAGGTCGCAGGCCGGGACCTGAAACCCCCTCACTCCACCACCCTCCAATCTGGGAGGGCTGTGAACTGCCACCCGGCGGCATAGTTGACAAGTCTCTCTCAGCCGGAATATATATTATCCAGCCACCACATGGTGGGCGAGCCGGCAAAGACTATTCCCCGTTGTAAAGCTGAGGAGGTTAAGGCCGGGACCCCGAAACAAATGCGTGCGGAATCACTTCAGGAGAGGAGCTCAGTCCGCCTGCCCCCGCCCCAAAACTTCGGAGCGGGCGGGCAGCAGGCCAGGGAGATGGCCGAGGCCCGAGTGAATTAGGGCTTACGCCCTCGGGGAAGGAAGCGGTGGGCGGCGCGGCTGGCGAGGTCAGGGGCCCGGAACGGCCAAGCGAGGGCGAAGAGGAGGCCTGCGCCGCGGAGCCCAGGAGCCACAAAGAGGCCCAGGCTCCCTAGGACGCGGCCGCCCGACCTCAGCAGCGGGCGCCCAACTCCCACGCGCTACCCGGGAACCAGAGCTCTCCGCGGGGCGTGGAGGAGGGGAGGGCTTAATTTCGCTCACTTCGCTCTTCAAGCCATTTGTAAAAGGAGAGGCTTCTTTGGCAGCTACAAGGGACGAACACAGCCTCCACTCCCAATTCCAGACCACCTGGCCTAACGGCCCGCGCCGTCACCGCACGCACACGTACGCACACGCACGCACACATGCGCACACGCCGCGCACGTCAGGTCTGGGCTCTGCGGCGCCGCTCTAGCAGCTCCCGCTGGTTGGGCTGAAGCCCGGAAAATCCGCGGCGGTGCGGCTGTGGGTGTTTCTGAGGGTTTTGAGGATCCTTAGTATTAGTTTCCCTCGGAGGAGCCAGCGCCGCGCTAGGCAAGGGGCGCGCGGCGGCCGGGGCCGCACGCCCTTTCAGCCTATGAGCGGAGGCGCAAGCGCGTCGCGGGCGCCCACACTAATCAATAACCCTCGGCTGGCTCCGAACGGCAGGGGGCTGAGAGGCCTTTCCGAGAGAGCGGGCCGGGGAGATGATGTATTTATTCTTCGCACTTACTGTGCACTTAGCACCAAGGGGGCTGTTCTTTGCTCTTAGCAACAGAAAGAAACCCTCGGCTCCGCAGCCTTGACTCCCTGTGGCCGCTGAACGCGAGTCCGCCCGGGGTCGCGGAATCATAGACTTGGTCTCTGCAACAGGTGGCGAGGGCCGGCGGCGACGACCGGGACACCTTCCCCTCTGCCTGACCCACATCTCCTGGGTGTCGTGGCTGGCCACTTCGCCCCGAAGAAGACGCCGAGGACTCTTGTGCTCTGGGGAGTGAAAATACTGGCGGGCCACGGGCTTCAAGCAGTTCGAACGCCGACGCAGAGAGCTTTCCAGGCTCCTTTGATTTTCCGTAAAATAGATTTACTTAATGGCTGAGCAGAATCTCGATTTCAAGTGACTTGAGCAATCAGAGAAACTCCTCTGGGATTCAGAGAGAGTCGAGGAATTGTTATTCCTTGCTCCGTCCCCCACCACTGAGTTTGCCTCCCTAGTCCTGCTGACTTCATTCACAGACAACCCACTGGACAACGCTCAGTGATAAATTAGGGAGTCGCTTAAGCGTGGCCATGCCTTTCTACCCTACATGCCCCTTCCGCGGATGACTCTGAACTCGCAGTGGAATCCGATTCCCGCTCAGATCCCCGGAGCCGAGCCTCACTCACACCAACCAGGCGAGCCCAGCGGCTGCTGGAACATCGTGGCTGCTTCGGGTGCTTGGAGCGCGCTGCTCCCTAAAGCCGCCGCGATGCAGATTTATGCTCCAGCCGCTCTCGAGAACCCCAACGCTTTGGCTGGGTTAATTTTTGTCAATTGTTCCTCATCATACTGAGATAGTTTGCAGCTTGAGGCGGGTTTTATTTATCACCCTGCACATTTGAAATACAGTCAGACATAAAAATAACTGACTCTGGGGCTCTGGCGCAATATTGGAGCCGTCGGGGAATAATTTGGCTAACTGACTTGGACGTTTCACCTTCTAAACAGAAATGCAACTCTCAGTCAAACTGTAAATCAAATTGTCTTCAGCCATGGAGGGCGGGGGGTGGGGGGTGGGGAAGCACCAAACCCAGAAGGGATCGGAAACAAAATGAAAGAAAACTCAGATATTAACCAAAGCAAAACGAGCTTCAGAAACCCAGACTGGATTTTACTTTTAGGCGTGGAACCTCGTCGAGAATGTGAATTAGTAAATGTTTTACCAGTCGGATCCGCCTTGGGGATTCTAGGGTGCCCTGGAAACTAGACTGATTTCTTTCTTTCTTTCTTTTTTTTTTTTTTTACTGCTACTGCTGTTTTTGTTATTAAATAATATATGCTATTTTGGGGGTGGGGTCCCCTTGAAGAGTTTCAATTGTAAATGTTAAGGACAATGGTCTGGGCAGGACGGGGTAGGAACTCTGGGAACCACCTAAAACTTGGAGAAAGAGGTCAGAAATTTCCTGGCACTTTCCTGTTGCCAAATTTCTTGTGAATAGGTAGAAAAGAATCTGATAACTTTTTCGGCTCCTCCGGCATTCCTCCCCTACCCCTAACACCTGTCTAGAAGCCCCCAATAATGAAAGCTCAATTTCTTACCGCAGCACCAAGACCGAGTGGTCTAAACCGCGGCCAGGACTGGCTTTCAGTAAGGCAGGAACTGGAAGGGAAAACCCACCCGAGCGACCACTCAACAATTGATCAATTAGAGGAACTCAAAACGCAACCAAATAAAACTTCTGCCAGGGTGGGGAGCATCTGCTATTATTTTTGTATTATTTCACACAGCCCGAACTCCAGCAAGTAGATTTTATTCCTGCACAGCAAAGCGGAGATCAGCCTCCCGCGTTTCTCAAGCTTCTACAAGGGAAATCTGAAGACTGTTTTCTTGACATGAAGCCACAGCGACCTTAAATGTAGACACCTGCCCCTGTCATAGGGTATTAAACAAGTATATATTTTTTTAAACTTCTTTTTAACCAAGACCGTTCACGTAACTCGCTTCTAACATTTCTCCAAATAAACTGTAACAGGAGAGCTGTGACTCTTAAAATCCACAAATTAAAATTAAATTTCAAGATACCAAAGGGGGCTTCAGGTAGAAACTTGGCAGGATTATTTTCAAATAACTTTGAAAGTTTAAGATACTTCTATAGTTGATAGTCCTTGCTATCTCTTCTGAATATGTAATATTAAATTGTGATTGCAATCAAAAAGTGGTTTCAAAGGTGTTAAATGAAATAAAATTAAATCTAATATTTTTATGGGGGAAAAGATCAGCTAGTAGTTGGAAATTTTTCTCAAAAACAAATTTAATTTGTGTGGTTTTGACATTTGCATGATCCAGTTCTTAACCTGGTGGTTTTTATATCAACCCCAAACTGGTTTTGCTCAAGTTGACATCTCTGCTTCTTCAGATTGGGAACTCAGTAAGCTCAGCATGCTCTGCTGACAGGCAACTCCTGTGTTGTGAGTATTCCTTTGCCAATACATGGTGTGATGTCCTTTTCAGTGTAACGAGTCGGGGAAATAAAAGAAAAATTTGCCTCTCCACACATTTATTTTTATTTGTTGTTTTTTCTTTATTTCTAACAGATCAAGATGAGTTCTTTCTCTTAGAATCACAAATATCTGCTAAAAACGTATATTTTTTTAAAAAAATCTACAGATGTAATACATACTCTGAACCCTATAAAATGCGTTTACAATGCTGACTTAAAGAAAGAAATTTATAACTTTCATATGTACCTTCCTTTTGCAATAGGCAACTGCCATATGTTTCCGACTTCCATAATTCAGTTTTTCCTGGACATCTGTAGCAGGTAGTGAGTGCTTCTTAAAGTACATTTTATGTAATTTGAGAAGGAACCCGAACCTAAGACTAAAGGTTAACATAAAAAAGCACAAGCCTTTCTAGAAATGTTAGTTATTCAAAATTTACATCACCTATTGTGCATGGCCTGAGTTACTTTTTTTTCCCTCTTCTTCCTTCTTGAGACTGAATTTGGAAATGCAGTATTGTGTATGCTGAGAATTCGTTCCATGGAGCATATTCAAAATGTCTAAATGCTTTGGTAAATTTCCTCTTGTTTTTACTGTTCTTTAGCCTTTTGCTTGAAGATTCTCATTCAGTTCTTTCTGAAAACCCAGGTTGGAAGTGTTTTGCAGTAAGATTATTTTGAGACACATTTTAATATTTTTATATCAAAAGAGGGAAATCATAAGCTCTTTCATTTTTCCTCTGTCTTAGCTGTTCATCTTATACTTGTTCAAGGATGGAAGAGTTTACATGATTAAAAATGAAAACAAACCCAAAAGTAATGTAGAAAAGCCAAAGCTTGTTTTCAGATTTTTTTGACTGTGTGTTCAAATTCAGAGTTCATTATTAATGCTAATACTATATTTCAATATCTCACTTCTTTTTGTGAATTTCCAGTGCTAGACTTACTCTGTCAAAATCCCCTTCATTCAGCTGAAACTGAAATGTTTCATCTTTCAGTACAAAAATATGAATAAATTCTAGCCACATTCTTTATTCATACTTTCAGCAGATTATATAAATGCACACAAAATATTCACTGTTTAATAATTGTGGGTATCTACAGATGTGAAGTAGAAGAACAGGGTCCAATTTATAGCCAATTAGATGGTGTAATAATTTGTATAAAAAGCTAAAAACCTTACCTAATGATTCTTACATGGAAGCTAAACAGGGACTCAGTTTTCTTTTCAATTCATTTTATTAAACCAGCAGACTCAAGATAATCCTCATTCATGGGGGAAAATAGCATTAAATATTTAGTTCTAAGAATATGAAGCTGCATATTTAAAATATCAATTTAAACATGATTTTATGAAGTATAAACTATTAAAATGCCCATCAACTATTTAGAGAATATTGTTTAATTTCCCCATTCTTTGTCCCAATTTGGTTTATGTCCAAATTGACCTGTTGCAATATTGCTATCAGCAATGTCCAACTACCCACCTTTGGGTATTCATTTACATCTAGGTGTTAATTTCATTACCGCCTTCAAATCGGCTAATACCTGATTAGTGATAGAGACAAACTTTGCTTCTTGGACTTTTCTGTTACTAACCCCTTACTGTAGTAGGGTCATCAGAGTGTGGGTCAATGAATGAGGAAGTGAAGGGGGTGGTTTTTCATGCACAGGGTGAAAAATAATTCCAGCATCGGTTGGAAACACAGCCTATAACTGCTGGAAATTGGACATGAGTGGGGAAGCTCATTCCCCCCAGCAGAGTGAGTTTCCCTCCTGATTCATTACAGGTTCTTTCCCTCCTCATCATCCCTCAACTTGGTAGGTTAAAGGACCCCTTTCTCCCTTCCTTTCCTTCCTTAAACTGGAGAACTTGGACAGGGGAGGGAGGCAATAATGATGAGAAGCTTACCATCAGAGTCCACTACTTTTGCTCTCCCCAAACTGCCCACCTCCCCTAAACCTCACTGAGAAATGAGCATTGACTGAAAAACCAACACTAGAAGGCGTCCGGCTCTAAATCAAGTGTGGGCGCCTGAGAGCCCGAAGAGCGCTTCCGTGCGCTGCGGCACTTTGGTAGCGAGACTCGCTCTCCACTGACCAGAATACTTGAGAGACTGCTTGTTGGAAGAAGAGAAGGGTAAACAACTGCCAGCGTGTAGGCTGTGCTGTCTCTGTGTGCAAATCCGCCACAGAAGCCTCGAGGAATTGCGGTTCTGAATCTCTTTCTCTACGGGGCCTGGGTTTGCAGTTGGAGACTCGGCAGGGAGGAGGCCCGCGAGACCGGAGATTGAATTTATTCTCTTAGTTTTTGTAAGCTTATACAGGTTACATTTTATTATTTTTATTAACCCAGATCAGAGGGAGAGGCGAAAAGAAGTGCAAAGCAGAGAAGAAAGGAAGGAAGTGGGGGAGAAAAGGAGCACTGCCCTCGGGTAAGGTGCTGCTGAAGGAAGCCGGGGGGCTCTGAAGTCCACGCCCCCAATTAGGATGCGGCTTCTTCCCAGATTCACTTACAAATTAAGGCAGCCAAATAAGTACTCCCTCGGTGCCCTTATCACCCCCTCTCCCGCCTCTATTTCTGTATTTCTCACTCTGTTAATCCCCTGGCTAATAATAAACTTTTTTTTATTTTTATTTTTTTAACGCATGAGAAGAAAGTTAGGATCCTGCCTGTTCGGAAGTTCGGGGACTATCTGATGCAACTCCCATTCAAAAGCCAAGAACAAACTCTCTCTTGTGGAGGGCTCGCCTCCTGTGTCAGGTCTTGAGTGGGGAAAATTATCACAAGGGTTGTAAACTCACGGCCACTGGCAAGTGTAAAAGATTTTTTTTAAAGTCTATTTAGAGAAGGAAATCCTCGCTAGAATTCATAAACTTAGAATTTAAAAATATGCTGTTTATAAATATAATACAAGTAGATATGTTAAGTAAGCGTAAACAGCAAGCTGTCTCCAAACATGTATGTGTGTGTGCTCAGTTGCCAAGTCGTGTCTGGCTCTTTGCAACCCAATGGACTGTAGCCCACCAGGTTCCTCTGTCCATGGGATTTCCCAGGCAAGAATACTGGAGTGGATTGCCATTTCTTTCTCCAGGGGATCTTCCCCACCCAGGGATGGAACCCATGTTTCCTGCATTGGCAGGTGGAATCTATAGGCTCTCGGCTGAGAAAGCACAGTGGGAACCTACAGAAAGACTGCATTTTTAAAAAATCTCTCCGAACTGTCCAATTTTAAAATGCACCGAGAAAAATAAAGAGGAACCAACTTGCTTTTCAAAGCCCACCGTCCTTCTTGGGTTAGTTTTGCTATCTAGCTGGACACGGATTCCACTAGTTACCGTTCACAGGGCTGTTGTGTTCTTTCCTCTCCGTGCCCCCCAACACCCCAAGTTCTGGAGACAAGCCCACTGACAACGTTCTTGCCTGGATGACTTTTACTTGAAATAGAGCACTGCTATTCTTGTCAGAGGCTTGACAGTTTAATTCCGTTTTAATCGTTTCCTTAACAGCTCATACTGGGAACAGACATTTTCTCTCTTCAAGTGACGAGAGGAACACGCTCCCCGGTCATACGCCCCCCACCCAGGTTTGCACCCGCGCAGGTGCACAGGCGCACCTATGCAAAAATGCAAATACAGACACGTGCACGAGCGCACCGGCTTAAGTTTTTCTCCCGCCAATTCGCTTCCTGTCCCTGCTTCTTTTGCTCTCTGGACTCGCAAAGTGCAAGGCCCTGGCTTGGCTCTGGCACGCGCATGCCGTGTTTTGAGACAACGCAGCAATAAGGTGCTAGCGTCGCCAGCACTTCGAAGGCCGAGACTCCGATGGCATGCCAAGCCAGCATTCCTTCCCTCCCGACCCCGGGAAAAGCTCGGCGCACCCTCTCTGGAGCGAAAGTCGCGGGTGCGCTGAGGTCTGCGACCATCTGCTTCCCGGCGGATGGGGGCACCTGGTCCCGCTGGGTCCTTGGGTCCAGGAGTCTGAGCCAGATTCAGCGCGAACCCAAAGTGGAGAGCTGTGGTGCGGCTCCATGGCTGTGCTTCCCAAAGCCCAGCCCGGACTTGGACTAAGAAGACCAGAGACTAGGTCCTGAACCGGGCGCCCAGGGCACACACCTGGATTATTTCTACGGTTCACGTTCCATCTGACATCATGGGGGTGTGTGAGGCCCGGCTTCCCGGCTTGTCTAAGTGGACCCAAGTCCTAGGTGCCCGCGCGTCCGGAAGGCTGCGTCCATCGCCGCCGCGGATAAAGGAGAAAGTGGGGTAGGCGGATAGGAGGCCTTGTCGCTGTGTGAACCTCAGAGTGCCCTGTAGGCCGTGCAGTTCTCTCTGAATCAGTTTGAGCTGGGAGGCATGTAAACGGACCAGAACCCATCTACAAAGCAGGCTTCGCGTCTGGAAAACCGTGACGGTCCCAGGCGACCTGGGGTTGCTCCTTCCCCTGCAGCGGGGCCGGAGTAGGCCTGAGGGCCCCGGGGACTCCATCTCTGGGCCTCAGCGCCTCCACATCCCCAAGGCCGCAAGGGCGGCTTAGAGGAGCATCGCGTCGCTTCTCCTAGGGGTCGCCGAGGGCCTGGGCCTGGCGCAGGGCGCTCGGTCCCCGCCGGCTGCGGATGCTGGCTCCAGATGCCCCAGCCGCGCGGAGCTCGGTGCGCAGCCTCCTGCCACGTCTGTGGCCCTCCCACCACCGCATCCTCCTCCCCACCACTTGCCCGAGCCCTCCGGGCGGCCTCCCCGCTCTCCCAGGCTCGCGCCCGTCTTAGGGTAGGCTTCGGAACCGGATTTGCGCTTACTTTTAAAGCTATACTACCCGCCCAGGGCGTCGCGGAGTTTGGAGGTCCTCCGAAGATCGACCCGCTCCAGACTGTGCGCACAGCCTTGTTTTGCAAATCCAAAACATCTCCTCCAGGTTGAGTACGGTTCTCAATCTTTTAGAAGAGAACTCCTCCGCAGGTTGCTAGGGAGTCGTTTTTGACCCCGAGGCTGCTGGGCCCGCCGGAGGGCGGCGAGTGCGGGGACGCCTCTGAGAACCGCTTGCTCTGCTTTCTGCTCTCCTGGTTGCCTTGCAGGAACCGCGAGTTCCCCCTGGAGCTACAGTAAAAAAAAAAAAAAAAAAAAAAATTCGAAGCTACTGCCTGAATAGCTCTACTGGAAACTACGAGAGAAGTAAGAGATAATGGGGCAGCGGACAGCGTGGAGGTTAAACAGAGCGAGGGAAAGAGAGAAAACAAAACAACACAACCCTTTGTCCTGTATTTTACATCAAAAATTTAAGAGTAATATGCGTCATGAATTTTATTATACAAGAGACTTGCTCTATTTACACCACCTCCATTATTTTTGTTAATCCAGGGCAAAAGTCGAGTAGAAAGTACAAAACAAACTGTGCAGATACGAGCTTAGTGTTATTCAATTAAAACGCATTTTAAAATTTGTTTTAAAGAAACATGTTGACTCTAATAAAAGTCTGAGAAAAGAAAAGTCTGAGAAAAGAAGTAGCAAATTGTCAAAAACAGGGAAAATATGAAGCTACGTTTAAATCACAGAGACATTTTTAAAACTGCAATGGAAATCTTCCTGCATCTTAAAACTTATTTCACTTTGCAAACTGTTTAGGCGTCTTAAACCTACGTCCTTATCGTTAGAAAATTAAAATCCTAGGTTTAAATTAACTATCACGGTATGAAAGACATGGGAGGCTCCGGAAAGAGCGTGCTTTTTCTGACTAGTTCATTGAAAGAACTGAGCTATAATGGGATAGAATTTTGCTTTCCTAAATATAAGGATTTAAACATACCTTGAATTCTCCCGCCCTCCCCAAGAAAAATTCACAGAGTAGAACAAATAAATACGTCTATGCCACTCCCGGTGCAGAATGGGTGTTACTAAAGGCAGGAATGTGTAGAGGAGAAAAGATGGGCCTGGTGGCTGTCAATTCTCTCCATTCAAAATGTTCTGAGTTGTGGCAATATGAAGCGATAAGGGAAAGGGACTGGAACTTTAGGTTTACTGAAGGATTCTTGGTATTCTAATGTGGTGATCACTTCGGTTCAAAGCCAGGAACCTCAGCCTTTCCAGGTCCCGGTGGGGAAAGCTGGAGACTCCTGGGCAGGACTGGGCTGTGGGAGGCAGGGAGACTGACCCAGTTCAGCGCCGGGGTTGGCGCTTTCAAGCCAGATGGCGGCGCTTTCCACTCTAGGTTTTTTGCTACCTTGTAAGGAAGTGGGCGCGGGCTGAGCGGAGTCTGCGCCTTCTGATTGGCTGTCCGTCTCAGTGATTGACAGGCCCCCGGACTCCGCCCCCGCCCCTTTATTGACACTAATGAGCAAGTTCTTCCCACCGCTCTCCTGCCTGGAAGTGCTGACAGATCAAGGCAACAAATTTCAATTACAATCCCTAATTTGTGTCCGCAGAGTGTTTTTTACCCATGTTAGTTCTCTCTGGCGCATCAGTCGAGGCAGATCTTGGAGCAGCAGGAGGAGGTGGAGGGGGTGGGAGCGAAGGAGTCCATCAGTGAGAGAGAGCGCGCGAGAGACCGAGGGAAGGAAACTTGGCGGGCGCGTCGCTGGTTCCTCGGATCTCAACACAGTCGCGAGAGAGGAAACGCCAAATTTGTCTCTGCCCGCGGCGGGGAAGGGCGCTGATCTGGGCCTGCGGGAGGCCCCGAGAGTCGTTCAGATTTTGGTGGGGGAAGGAGAGCGAGTGTGTGCGTGTGCCCGCGCGCGTGTATATGAGCGAGGGGCGGGCGCCGGGCGGCGGGGATGGCCGAGAAGCGGAGGGGCTCGCCGTGCAGCATGCTAAGCCTTAAGGCGCACGCCTTTTCGGTGGAGGCACTGATCGGCGCCGAGAAGCAGCAACAGCTTCAGAAGAAGCGGCGAAAGCTGGGCGCTGAGGAGGCGGCCGGGGCCTTAGATGACGGAGGCTGCAGCCGCGGCGGCGGCGCCGGCGAAAAGGGCTCCTCCGAGGGAGATGAAGGCTCTGCGCTCCCGCCGCCGGCTGGGGCGGCTTCCGGGCCCACCCGGAGTTGCGCAGACCTGGAGCGGAGCTGCGGCTCCCGGGGAGCCGCGGGTGAGTCGGCCCCTCCCGCCTAAACTTCTTCCCCGCACGTCCCCTCCCGGTCCCGCGGGCCCGTACCGCCGCGGAGAACCTGAACTTCTGCGAGTTGTGGGCGTGCGAGCGCGCGGTGTCCCTACGCACCCAGGGCAACTCGGCCACAGGCGCACTAGCGGTGGGTGTCAGGGCTCAAAGCTCCCGCTGCCGTGGCCGCTCCTCCGCGCAATTCGGGTCACGGTCCAAACGGTTAAAATGCCGCTTCCAGTCTGGCTTCTCAGGCGGCCGCCGCCCACTCGGCGAAGCTCACCCGTAGCAGCTGCAATTTGCGGCGCTCAGCGGTGCAGATCTGTGCTTTCCGCATCTGCCTCCCTTGGGCTTCTAGCCCCTGGGTGCTCTTTTTTATTTCTTAACTTTTCAAAGCTAAAGAGTGGGGTGAGCGACGGCGTACACCCCCGAAACCGAAACAAATGCCTAAACCGTTTGGGCAAACCAGGAAGAGGGCGGTGTATTTGCAAACGTGGTTTCCCAAGGGCTCGCAGAGCGGTTCCCTTGCCTCCCCCCACCCTTGGTTCCCGCTGCCAAGGCCGACGGCGATCTTGGGCTTGTTTTTCGCGCTCTTCTCTTCCCTGTGCTGCTTTGCTAAGACGCTCAGGACCGCCAGGGAGTTTGGCGAGAGCGGTGTCTGGAGAGATTTCTAGAGGATGCCTCCGGCCGGGCCCTAAGCAAGGACGCCGATTGCGAAGCGAGGCCCAAGGATCTGAGACCAGGAACCCCAGCGCCAGGCGCTTTTGCTCTGTGCTCTCCATGGCTCGGGGTGTATCGGGCACGGATCCCAGACTCCGGCTGCGGCACAAAACTTATTTTGGGGCCTTGACCGGGCGGAAGCAGGGAGGGTGGGGTGGACTTGGGCCGCACGCCTCTTCGGGACTTGAGACTTGGGGGCCAAGAGGGCCCTACTTGAGCGTCGAGTGTCAGTCGCTTCGGCTGGCGGAGCAGGTATTTAACTACCCGTGGGCCTGTTACACGGAACGGATGGCAGGAAAGCTTCCGTTTCTCCCGCGGCCCTTTTCTCTTCCCAGTCGCCCTCGGGGGGTTTATATCCCCACTAGGCTTCCCATCTCGAGCCCTCACCGGTACCCCCTCTCTGCCCTTTGCTGCCCAGGCGGCTGTGAGGATGGCTTCCTGCAGGGCGCTTCCCCGCTGGCATCCCCAGGAGGCTCCCCGAAGGGGTCCCCGGCGCCCGCCCTGGCCCGGTCCGGGACCCCGCTGCCCTCGCCGCAGGCCCCGCGGGTGGATCTTCAAGGAGCTGAGCTCTGGAAGCGCTTTCACGAGATCGGCACGGAGATGATCATCACCAAGGCGGGCAGGTAAAGGGCAAGCTGGCGCGAACGGCCCGGCCCCGGCCTCACCCCACGCCTTGGTGGGCGAGGGAAAAGGATCTGCAGCACGGTGGGGGTCTCTGGTTAGCAGTTTGTATAAATAAGGCGAGGCCCTCGGTAGTGGTTCACTTTTGAGACCAACTTTGCCTCCCTAACCTGGAGTGCAGTCGCCACGGGGCACAGCCCAGCAATCCTCTCTTGTTGGATTCTGCGGAGAAACCACTGTGGCCGCCGAGGCGGTGACGGGTGACTACTGATACTGCGTGTGCAGGGGTGTTAAAGATTCGTGATCCGACTTAGCATCTGTTCAGGTATTTAGTTAGACTTTCGTTATGTTTCTGGAACTGTGGAACAGATTATCCACCACCACCTCTACCCCTTTTTAAAAAACGCAGTTTACTCTTTAGCAAAACTGTCGTTAGCTTTTATAGATTCGAAACTTCCAGTTGCTTCTTTATCCAAAGATTCGCTGGCAGTTTGAGAATGTGCTGTGTTATGCTATCTTGATAGTAGATTAGGATGAAAATTACTGGAATAATCGGTAAACCATGTTTAATCCCTGCAAAAACAATTGCTCTGATTTTTAAAAACCATTCTTTCTATAGATTCACAGTTACTATAGTTCTTTTTTTTTCCTAAGTGAAATCCAACAAATTAGCCTAAATTTGCTGAGGAATACCAGAACAAAATTTGTAAGTTTTATCTATTTTTTGAAAGTGTGAAATTTCCACATCCATCAGTTAGTAAAATGGATTTGTTAAACAGATCATGTTAATTCGAAGGCGCACGGAAATATTTCCGTTTTTAAGTTTTCAGTTCATTTAGTGCAGTGAAATCTATGACTGCTATCTTCCTCAAAAGAAACTTTTAGCACACACACAACTCTTTCAGGGAGTACACATGGCGAAAACCTGGATAGTATAAAAGTATCCAAACTTATTAGAAATTACAAAAACATATTTTATTGAATCCATATGCTACCTTCTACATTTTCACAGAGCTTTTATTAATGATCCAAATTCAGTCTTCAACAACACAAAGCAGCAGTTGTCTTATAAAGGATGTAGTTAAACACCTTTACTCTTTATCTTACAGGTGCACTGAGAAAAATACTTAAACAGCCAGCGTATTAAACTGTTCTCATGCCTAGTTAGGAATAATGGACTTTCTTTTCTCTGGAAGTGGTCTTTAATGGCATTATTGTTATGGAAACATTTTTGGTAAATAACAGTACTAAAGGTTGTGTTATAAGGTTAAATTAGCAAAAATTAGATTACCTGGAAGGGTCCTAGACATAAATCAGTAGATGAAAGTTTTTTGTTTTTTTCTTAAAGAGGGAACTGCATATATATATATATATATATATATATATATATATATACACATACATACATATATATATACATACATACATACATATATATACACACACACAATAATTTGCTGTTGTATTCCTTGCTACCGTGCCTTTTTAAAAGATAGATGCATTTACTTTAGTATCTCCTTTGATAAGCATCTCTGGGAAGCTAAAAGAAATGTGGGCTTCACTTGTTTTAATTAGCAAAATTGTGAGTAAGTGTGGTTAAAGTATTTTCAGGGCATGGTAGGGGAAGGAATGATTTGATAAATATACATTGTATTTAGTTTCTGCTTTCAATAAAGAAGTTTTACTATACCTTTCAAATTTAGGGCAACTTTTGCACTTCACCTTTACCATGCGGCAGACAGGAAGTCCCGTCTCAATAAAGAACATATTGTTTGGTTATGGCATGGCACATTGGCTCCTTGTGCTTTTTTATAACCCTTTTAAAATTTCATATTATATTTTATCACTTTTAGAAATTCAAATTTTCTATTTCTACTATTTGGAACCCTTTATTATTTGTTTTATTAAAGTCAGCCTGCTTACTGATTTTTGTTTTAAAAATAAAGTGCTTTCTGTACCATTATTTCTTCAGTATATATATGTGTGCGTGTGAGTATTTGGCTTTTAGGTACACTGACATTTCAGTAAACATAGAATGCAAGTACAGGTATAACAAATTACATTTAAATGATTCCATTTTGATACATCCTGCATTCATATTCTTTGAATTACATTTGCCAAAGTGAATGCTATATATTTGTCCACATGAAAAATACAGATTCAAGAGCTTTCTTCGCTTATTCATTCTTCAAGCATAATCATAACCCAAAGCAAAACCCAAACCGTCTTTCCTCCCCTCCTTTATATATAGGCGCATGTTTCCAGCAATGAGAGTGAAGATCTCAGGATTAGATCCTCACCAGCAGTATTATATTGCCATGGATATTGTGCCAGTGGACAACAAAAGATACAGGTACAGTGATCAGATGGGTACAGAGGATAAGAACGCCCCAGGATTTCACAGGCTATGTGGATTTCATCTGTACTGACTATGATATTTGTTTCCAGAAGCCTGTAGAATGATTGGATCCACAGTCCAACCCCAGTCACTTGCAGTAGTCTAGATGGTGCCTTCTCTTGCAGTAAATGTGAACATTTATTTTTTGTTTTGCTTTTAATAGATGCAGAAATGTCTTTAAGTGTTGAGGAATTTTAATAAGGGGCCAGTTTAGTGTTGGTAAACTAAGTATGTCTTTTATATTGATCACATTTTGATTAGGATTTTGAGAGGAAATATGAAGTAAAATTTGTAGGTGTACGTAATAGTTAACAAACTGTTTCAAATTCTTCCTGATTATTTTATGACCTTTAAATAAATTCCCTTTATTTTGTTATGTACAAAATCATAACTGTTTACAGGCTTTTTTTCCCTTTAAAATGAGGAAATTATTGAAGATTTTTTATAATTTAGGAAAACAAAATCATAATTCATTATGATATCAAGACATCTTTAAGCTGGTAATGAATTTGTTATCTTATTGTTGTGCTTTTTTTTTTTTTTTTGGCTGGTGGTTAACAGAGAATTTTTTAAAATTATTGTAATATTTGGGTTTTGAGAGAATATATTTATCTAGATATCAAATAAAGCTGGATTCCAGTAAAGCTGGAGAAGATACTTTCTTCAGTATCAAACCAAACTTTGCTTTTCCTTCTGTGAGTAAACAAATCAACAGTCTTCACTGATAATTATTTTTATTTTCCTGGGGAGTTGAAAATGATAACATTTAAAAAAAGGAAATTCCGAGTCGCAAGTTGGAAGACCCTGCTTTAAATTTTGGTCTTTTTTGTTTCTATCTTTTAAATAAACACCTAGAGCATTTAGTAAGTTTTTAAATGAAATCAGATTTGGTTTTTATTACTTTTTAAGATTTAGGGAGTCACTTTTTGGAAACAGGTTTATGGTGTCAAAAGTATACAGATTTAATTAGTAGAGGCACATATGGAATGCTAAAAATATGGGTAGTAAAAAGCACAGTTTTATGATTGCATTTTGTGTATAAGTTGTATCACTTATTTTAATTAAATAATTCATTAGGGAGTTTTGTTAAAATTGTCTGCTCCGTGATAGAAGCTAGAAGTGCCTTGAAGTTTATTCTTTAAGTATACTTGGTTTAAAATCCATATTCTAATTTGGGTTTGTGCAGAGGAAAACAGTGTAATTCTGTTGAGTTTAGAAATCTTTCCTTTCTCTTCTAAGTTTGTCTTCTATTCCTTCCTCCAAATCTCTTCCATATATTTTGGATGGCTTATTTTATTTAATTGATCCTTACTATTCACATATAAAACAAGAAAATTTTCAAGAATTAATATTAAGATGCCAGATTTTAAAAGATCAAATTCTAAAACATAAATTTGCTTTCAGTTAAATTGCTTCTCAAGAAAAATTTGTTTTTAGCATTTGTATTTAGAATGTTTCACAAATAGTAGGTAACATGTAGCATTTATTCTCTTAATAGGTATGGATTTTTGAGCTGTTCAATATGCATACTTTTCAAAATTTTGACAGAGCATATTGTTCTATTTATTTTGGCAATAGCTCTGAATCCATTGTGCTGCTTTTTCTCGCATTTCTAAGATTTACATTTTATTTTCCAACTTTTTCAGCAATAGTAGAAATAAATATTTTGGCTCATTCTCTGCTATCAAAAAATGGTATTTGGTCAAATAAAAAATGATTGTGATTTATTAGAATATAAAATTCATATTCACAAAAGCCCATGCACAGAGCTTATTTATTGAAATTACACTGTATCAATTAAGGGAAATTGTTTTTATTGTTATTCTTACTTTTGTGATAATATATTTTTTCCCAAGAAAAGGAATTAGGAAATAGAAGGCATATTGAATTCAAAAGAGAATGAAATGTGTGAACATAGTTGAAACAGTGGGCCTCACTAGGGATATTATGAAAATACTTCATGCTATTTTAAAAAGAAAATTTCATACTATACTGGTAGAATTCTTTGAGACTATTAATAAGTTGTTGCTTTAAATTGTATGGCATATTTTAAAACAAAAGGAAGACAAGCATCCAAATATATAATTTCATTTTCTATCCTTTTCTAAATTAATCATTGATATACTAGTTTCTAGTTTTTAAGTTAGTCTAAAACTAACAATAAGTGATAGTCTGAATATAAGATTAAACATTATCTTATATACTACTTGAAACATTGTTATTTAAGTGTATTATTTTTATAGAGTCAGTGTTGTTGACAGACATAAACAAGTAGAATAGGATGTTTTGCCTCTTAATTAGAAAGGTAATATTAATCAGATAAATCATAATTTTAAGAGTTTGATGTATATTTTAATTAGTGGTATAAGAATTTAAAGATTTTCTGACAATAGTCAAAAAAGAGAATTAGAGGAGATAAAAGCCTATGTTTTATGATTATACAAACTTTTAAATTAAACAATATCCTCAGTTTCTAGTGTAATGGAGTTAGAAAAAAATAATTCTAAATGATAATAGATGTGACTTTTTTCCCTATGAAAATAAATTTACTGTACATTCTGACAATTTCCCCTTGACTTTCTACCATGTCTCTCATCACTTTGAACCTAAGCCTAAAGTGGGGAGTGATAAAGAAGGTTAGACCGTTGAAGATATAACTCTCAAGTATTTTTGAGATTTCCTTAAAGCAGAGCTTGACAACTTAATAGTTTCTTCATGTCAATTGCATATCCAGAAAAAATGGAAAACATCAGAATACAGACAAAATGTCTAACGTGAATAAGTGTGATTTATCCAAATTGAAATTCTTGCATGTATGGTGGAAATAGTGTGCATATTTTTCACTAAATCCTTAACATATCACCTTGAGTGGTTAGCAGGCTACCACTGCTTCAGAGATTTTTTTTTAAAGTGCTTGAATTCTTATTTTATACACATTGAATGTAAAGAGCAAATCCTTGAATTTTAGACTTGAAAGGGTGTCCATTTTGTCTGAGTCTACAGAGTTGGAAATTCCAAGAAAGCAACAATCCACAAACGCGGCTTGTCCTTGCCCTCTAGGTATGTTTATCACAGCTCTAAATGGATGGTGGCAGGCAATGCCGACTCCCCTGTGCCAGCCCGCGTGTACATTCATCCGGACTCACCTGCCTCAGGGGAGACTTGGATGAGACAAGTGATCAGTTTCGACAAGCTGAAGCTCACCAACAACGAGCTGGATGACCAAGGCCACGTGAGTAGAGGGCCTCCCTAATTTGCCTCCGTTGGATGGCATGACCATTATCTATGCTGTGTCTGCCTGAAGGAAATGAACTTTTCTAAGATCATGACATTCCTCTCTTGGTTGACTAGAGTGTGCATAGCTGTGCCACGTCAAGGTTACATTTTCTTTAAAGGCTATGCCTGTGACCAGAGTATTCTATGAAGCTTTTAATAGGTAAAACTGGATACTGCGTTTGTGTTGGAAGACATTTTTAGCCAACACATTTGTTTGAAATTTCATAAAGTGATAATTACTATACTATGAATATGAATTCTTGAAGTTGGGTGAACAGGGATAATGATTTATGGTGTCCTGCCTGTATCCTCTTCTTTTCCCAGCTGAGGCTCATCATTTGTCAGTAATGGCCCAGGCTTATGCTGTCTGTGTGTTCCATCTGCAAGCTCCCAATTGTTTTGTAATGACATCTAATGTGTCAAAATATGTTGTAATAATAATTCCTTTTCATCTTAAAACCGAAATGTGAAATATATGCTAAAGTCAGTCGTTTCAATAATATAGTCATTTTTAACAGTTTAATGATACTCACACAGTGTTGTTTGCAGGTGAGATGTCTACCTTATTATCAATGTTTTAATAAATAAGTAACTCTGGATATGTGCTGATTTCCACTCAGTGCTAGCATTTCTGTTAGATTTCTGTTATTTGAGAGAGTTTTGACTGAAGCAGGATTGAAGTGCCTTTTGAAGAGTATATTGTACATAAAAGGAATACCAATTCATCCATTTCTCAAAGGGGTGACATGAAGATAGCTTGTTTATGGGCCAGTCTTTTAAATCAAAAAAATGCAAACTGTCGTAAGATAGTAATACAGTGATGACAGGATGTGATTTGTAAGTTGCTAGATAATCTTAAGCAATTGACCTTAATGAAGACATTCAAGTACACATTTCATTGTGGTATAGATGCAGGATCTGGGTTTTTAAAACTCATCTCTCTCAAATTGCCAGTGCTTTTTATTTGTTGCCTTTTGTAATTTAAAGCCTAGGGAAAAAAAAATAAAGCCTAGTACATTTCACTTCAGAATGATACAACTTCATGTCCTGAATTTTAGTACATTACTTTCTCTTCTTTTTTTTCTTTATGTACACAGTCAGGTTGTAACAGTTCTTGACTTCAGTGAAAGAACATTAGTTTCTTATGTCTCAATGAAGGAGCTAAGTGTGAAATTTTGCCAGTGTGTCCATTGAAGAGTCTTTACTTTTTTTTAGAATAAAAAATTGAAAAATAAATGGCACTAAATGTTGATGATTTTCAAAAGCTTAAATATACTCTATTTTTTTTGGAGTTCTATAGTTTGAGTGTGTATATATATATATTTTTTTTTTTTGAGTACATATCTTTTAAAGAGATAATGGATCTAAAAACTATACACTGTCCTAGATAAGATACAAATTCCTTTAAATAATTTAAATAAATATGGTGATTCTATAATTCTAATTCTGATCAAATTACTGGCTTTATACCTAATATCTAATATATCTACAGTATTAGAGGTAGTAATTTATCTATATGATTTTAGCTTCATAATTTCGCTATATTCTATTTAAAACAGCATTCTCTAGAAAAATGGGACCAACAGAATATGTTACACACACACACACACACACACACACACACGAGATTTATTTTGGGGAACTGACTAACACAGATGTAGGGCTGGTAGGTCCAAAATTTGCAGGGTGGATTGGCAAAGACCCAGAGAAGACCTGATATTACAACTTAAGTCTGGAGGCAGTCTGGAAGCAGAATTTCCTTTTCCTCAGTGGACCTCAATCTTTTTTTCTTAAGTCTTTCAACTAATTGGATGAGGCCCACCCACATTACAGAGGATAATATGCTTTACTCAGATGTCTACTGATTTAAATGACACAACATTTGTTTAAAACACAAAATAATAGATTGCCAATTGAACCCCAGTTGTTTATACCTGAGTAATTATAATATTTCACTATTAAGAAAAATAAAAATTTAGAAAACAAGCAATATCTATAGAAGTGTGTCATCTTCCAAATTTTTTTTTCTTTTAAAATTGTGGCAGGATGTAATACTTTAATTAAAAAAAATAGTGTGTGTGGGGAATGAAGAGAGAAACATATGTACCTATGCTTTTTGGAAGCAAGAAAATTGCCTTTGCTATTAGTAGAAATCACGTATTGCTTGATACTAGAGGAGGAGGTAGGAGGGAAAGTACTCTTGTCTGTTTATTTAAAAACAAAAATTTCTTTGAAGACTTTGTAAAATGTAGTATGAGATAAAAAGCCAGTCTCTGGCTTCAGTGATCTTCTAACCTAGGCAAAAGAGAAGATTTGGTTCAGCTCAGTTCAGTCGCTCAGTCGTGTCCAACTTTTTGCGACCCCCGAGAGTCACAGCACGCCAGGCCTCCCTGTCAGCACACAGATTATCGCGCCATCAGAGCAGCGCAGTACGGCAGCCATTTTGTTCCAGCCAAGAGAGATTGGTAAAGCTCTGCGAAGAAGGTGTCTGTTACGTTTTTTTTTTTTTGCTCAATTTTATCACCCTGAATAAGATTAGATTAGAGATTAGGAAGTCATATTCTACTGTTGATGTGATTCAGGGTCTGAGAAGACAACAGTACTACTGTGATGGGACTAACTCAGTCCCTTTCTTGATGCAGGGACCTCTCAGGGACTCTCAGCCCTCTGCCCTCATATGATAGGCAGCATCAGAACTAAGTAATATGCTTCTTTTGAGTCAAACCTAGTGTCTTTTTTAAAAAGTAATTTATTCTGCTTCATAAGAAGTAAAGAAATTGAAGTAAAGGCAGAATTAGAATTGTGAAGAAGGAAATTGGAAGACTAGTAATGGTTAAATTTTAAAATATCAGTTATTCCACCAATGTCAAACCTAATGTCTTTAACATGGGAAAAATGTGTATTAACCTACACATGGGAAAGCACCCTGTGTTTATGGACAGAGATTTATGTTACTATCTTTGCTAATAGATAGTATCCAAAAGAAAAAATATCCTGTCTAAACAGAACAGAGAATATAGAACATGCAGGTCAGATTATAATTATTTGAGTTTCAGTAATGGGTTTTATCATTGTGGTCTTTTTGTTCATAAGGGCAATGGTTCTCCTAGTTCTACTTGTTCTAATAAATAAGCAAATTATTCATGACCATTTGTCATTATAACTTTGATAGTCATTAAAAAACAAATAATGCTATTTTATATAGAAGAACTGAGGCTTGTTTAGCAGTCCCTAAAAATTTGTAGGGATGTACTAAATTCCTATAGGTAATATTGAGAATATATATATTTTTAAAAATAATTTTCAGGTTACTGTTGGCAGTTACCCTTTAAAGTGCAAACATAGGCATGCCTCAGCTATTGCTATACCCTACTCCCAGTATATCCCAACTTAAGTCATTTTGGAGATTGTGTAAGGATATTAACAAATAAATACTATTAATATATATAGAGCTGTATGGAGAAATCTGCTTGAGAGAAAAAAGATTTCACAAAACAAGAATTTACTTTTCATTGACTAGTAAACAGAAACCTAAATGACTTTTTATTTCCTTCACTTCAAGTCGGTTAACTCTCGTCTTCTGGAACTGACCATGCCTTTTATTTTTGTTTAATGTAAAGTGACTTTTTCCAATTTTTCTTCGGCTCTGGAATTTATGAATCATTAAAATTAAATCTTGCCTTTTCAGACTTTTTATCTGATTGCAGCCAGACATACATTTTATGTTTATCTTAGCGTATACACACACACACCCCAACAGGCAGTGTTTTGCAAAAGAGAACTTATCCTTATTATATACAGCACGTTCTATTTTTCTGCTTTATTTGCTAATTTTACTTATCTAAAGATTTCCTGTTGTAACCCTTGAAATTGATTTTGTGAGTCATGAATAAGTTGAAATTCTGTGCTTTTATATATATGGAAAAAGATTTTTCCAGACGTTGCTGATTTGTGTTGTGTCCCCCCAGATGACAATGAGGGCTATTGTCCCCTCTTGTCCTTTATTCAGACTCATGCTATCCCTCCATCAGGCATGTGTGGTGAGTATCATCATTAGATTTACTCTCCAGGCATTTCCTCCACTGATAGAAAGAAAATTTCAGGGTTAGAAAAACCTCACAACTGTTGGTTAATAATGGAAGGTAAACACATTCTTTTGGGGCGGCAAACACACTCTATAAGTAGAGAGATGTTTGGGTTGACCAGTGATTGTGAATTTGGTTTATTAAACTGTGCACGTCCTAAAAAGCATGAGGCCAGTCAACCAACCACTGTGTTTTTTTTCCTCAGACTTTTGTTTAAGCATTTGTCCAAACTCCTAACACTTCAAACTTGAATTCAAGTTGTATAGCTCAGGAAAGATATAGATTTGTTAATTAAACTCATTAGTGAATAATTGAATTTGGATTTCCAGCAGCACATAGAAAATCTCATTGGGTGAAGCTATTTCTTTACCTACCTCCTCTACCTTGAAAGTGTAAAACAAAGAAGAAGAAAACATTCATTCACAATTCCATCATCTAGAGATGACCACTGTTCACATCTTTGTATGGGTCCTTTTACTGTCTATTTTTATGTAGTTATGGTAAGTTTAAAAACAACTGGGATCCTTTATTCTAATTTAGGATTTAAAAAGAAGTATTTCATTATGTGGGTAAAAATGTTCTAAAAGCGTTAGTAATGGCTGAATAATGCTGTAACCATTGTGTGGATTTTCATTTACCTAACCAATCTATTCATGTCAGTGGTTTATAGTTTTTCCACTGTTATAAATGATGCATTGCACATCTTTGTACATGAAACACTTTTTGGGATTTGGAATATATCCTTAGGATAAATTCTCAGAAGTGGAGTCATTGGGCAGAAGGCAGTTGAACCATATCATCAGATTCCCTGAGCTGAGTCTGAGAGCTTTTTCATCCCCGGGCATCTGGGTTTTGGAAGCCTTGTTGTGATGAAAGCACGAATGCTGGACTCTCCAGGCAAACCAGAGACTTTGTGAACCACACATAAGGCAGACCCTGGAGTATCCTTAAAATTCCTTTGCCCTTGAGTAGACATGTTGTAGTCACCAACAGAGGAAAAATGTGTTCTGAAGAAAATCTTGGTGTGCAAATACTTATTTTTAGGGGATGGGTGTGGTGGAATTAAAATAATCATTTCAATCTCATTTTTAGTTTTATTGTTTTGGACTCTGTGTTCTATTAGGTTCATTATGAATAAAAATGCTGATGAATTTATTCTTGTGTTTTCAGAAACAGAAAATGTGATGCTATATTCATATGGTTGCACACAGGGCTTCAACCAAAATAATTACTTGCCTTTTTTTCTTTTGTATGCACACTTTCCAAACAACTTCCTAATTGTCTCACTCCAGTTTTGATACACTTTATTAAATTGGGACTTTCACAGCCTTGGGTATTTTTATTTCTAACTGGGATTTGTTTTACACATTCAATATTTAGTCAAGGGGTTGAGATTGGGTAGAAATTGCTGACAGATTTGTCTTCTCTTTCCTTGATATAGATTATACTTCATTCTATGCACAAATACCAACCGCGAGTCCACATTATCCGTAAAGACTGTGGGGACGATCTTTCTCCCATCAAGCCTGTTCCATCTGGAGAGGGAGTGAAGGCATTTTCCTTTCCAGAAACTGTTTTTACCACTGTCACCGCCTATCAGAACCAGCAGGTATTGTTTTCAGAATTGGACTCTTTCTAGACTTAATTTCATGCGCAGATTAAAAGCTAGCTCTCTCTTTCACTCTATCTGTAAGTTAAGAATTGTCATAAAGTGCTTGCCATGTATGATATCCAGAATGTGTATATATATATATACATATATATATATATATATATACATATACACACACACCCACCTGTCAACGCAGGAGGCCTAACAAAAGGGGTTCAATCACTGGGTCGGGAAGATACCCACTCCAGTATTCTTGCCTGGAGAATCCCATGGACAGAGAAGCCTGGTGGGCTATGGTTCATAGGAGTGCAAAGAGTTGGACATGACTGAAGTGACTTAGCATGCTTGCATATGTAGTAATAATAATTATTTACCCAAGATACCCATGTAAAGCTACTCTAGTGAAGATTTCTTTAGACCAGAATGTCTCTCATGACTGACGGTGTAGGTTTACTTTCTATTTTGAGACATTGAATCCTGATGTCATAATTAAAATTAGAGAGCATGTGTACTGACTAGGAAATAGACCTGTAGAATATGAAAATGAGTAGTATGACAGGACATGAGATTTGTCAGCTCACTTTATTTTAAAGCTGCCATCTGTGTGTTATGGGAAGTATTTCACAATCATTTATCCTTCTTATATGTACAAAAGGGCTATTTCATTAATTGTGATAGAGGGTTACACATACACTTACTGTCTGAGAAATAAGCAATTGTGGAGTAATCCTTTCATTAAATTAGAAATAATTTGAGAAGTGAAATTTTTCTTTTCTCTATAAGTGAGCATTAATATATGTCATTATTTAAGGCTGTATCAAGCAGGTGGAAAATTGAATGGAGGCAATTATTTGACCCATGCAATTTTCTGGCCAGTTTTTGTAAGAAATAGCTATTAGTGGAGCAATGTGATCTGTGGTAGATTTTTTTTAATTTTCAAAGGTCAGTAGCATTATTTTAGATTTCCACTTCTCTTGGCATTTATATGCATCTCAGTCAACAATCTAAGGCTTTATAAGCTCTCCATTTTGTTTTCTTTTGTTTTAACTTTTCTTGGGAGATTTGAACCCTGCCCTGTGAATTCTCCCCTAGGGCTGAGAGACTCATCTGCTCTCGTCCATGGGTGATACCACCCAAGCTGTCTTGTCCTCTCACGCTCACATTGTCACACTTTTATGTAGGCTTTTAGGAAAGAACATGAAATTAACCTTTAAAAGGGCTGGAGATAATTAAGATTTTTTTTTTTTTAAGATATAGCTCCCTTTTCAGGGCTTCTCAGGTGGCCCTAGTGATAAAGAACCCACCTGCCAATACAGGAAATGTAAGAGATGTGGGTTCAATCCCTGGGTCATGAAGATTACCTGGAGGAGGGCATGGCAATCCACTCCAGTATTCTTGTCTGGAGAATCCCGTGGATGAGTCCATGTCAGTCTACAGTTCATAGGGTCACACAGAATCGGACTGGACTGAAGCGGCACATGCATGCTCCCTTCTAGTCTTTATTGACTTTGTTACAATATTTCTTCTGTTTTATGTTTTGTGTTTTTGGCTGTGAGGCATGTGGGATCTTATCTCTTCAACCAAGGATGGAACCTGAAGCCCCCTCATTAGAAGGCGAAGTATTAACAACTGGACCACCAGGAAGTCCCAGGAATATATTCTTAAAATGTATCAGTCATAGAAAATGATTTTTTTTTTCAGGAAAAATGCAATGTATAAAGAGAAAAGAGGCATTTTGTACCTTTGGTACCTTTTAAACAACCCTGTTCATCTTTCTTCCCTGTCTGTCTCTCTCTGAATTACACATTCAATTAACTGTGTATTAAATGTTATTTTAAATGTGTATTTTCTCCACACCTCTGTTATACAATAAACAAGATACAGTGGGTTTTTGATACATAATGGTGACTAACATCAACTCACAAATGCTGATAAATCAGTTAAAAGAATGGAAAAGTTAGAAGAAAGGAAATTGATCATGAAAAATGTAGTTGTTCTTTTTCTTTTAAACTTCTCAGCTGTATTTTGAAGAACTTATGGGAAATTGGTAGGCTTCCATGCCTGGTGGTTACCAGCATAAGCTCTGAAACTTGGGGTCCCAGTCTGGTTCTATGGCCAAGTAACCTTATAATCATAGAAAACTTAGGCCAGTATAAAAGAAAACTTAAAATCGGGATAATAACTACATCTAAGTTGCTATGAGAATTAAATGAAATAATATGGACAAAACTCATATTACAGCAGACATGGTACACATGTAATAGATGTAATGTCAGTAGTAAAAATAATGATGCTAGTGATTGCAATGTACCTCTTTTTAAACAAGCACCATGATATAAATCTGAACTTTTTTATTTTTAAAAATTTATTTATTTATTTACTTTAATTGGAGGCTAATTACTTTACAGTATTGTGGTGGTTTTTGTCATACATTCACCTGAATCAGCCATGGGTGTTCATGTGTCCCCCATCCTGAACCCCCTCCCACCTCCCTCCCCATCCCATCCCTCAGGGTCGTGCCAGTGCACCAGCCCTGAGCACCTGTCTCATTCATCAAATCTGGACTGGCGATCTGTTTCACACTTGATAATATACATGTTTCAATACTATTGTCTCAAATCATCCCACCCTCACCTTCTCCCACAGAGTCCGAAAATCTGTTCTTTACATCTGTGTCTCTTTTGCTGTCTCGCATATAGGGTCATCATTAACATCTTTCTAAATTTCATAATATGTATTAATATACTGTATTGGTGTTTTGCTTTCTGACTTCACTCTGTATAATAGTCTCCAGTTTCATCCACCTCATTAGAACTGATTCAAATGCATTCTTTTTAATAGCTGTAAACTCTTTTTTAAAATGCTGTTTTTTTGCTTTGTTTTTTCATGTATTTATAGCTCAGAAATATTTTTTTAAACTTCTTCCCCTGTACTTTTTTTTTTAATTTTTAATTTTTTTATTGGAGTGTAATTGCTTTATAGTGTTGTGTTGGTTTCTGCTATACAACAATAAGAATCAGTCACATGTATGCGTGTATATCCCTTCTGTCTTGAACCTCCTTCCCACCCCACCCCAACATCCCACCCCTTTAGGTCATCACAGAACCCCAAGGTGAACTTTCTTTGCTATACAGCAGCTTCCCGTTAGCTGTCTATTTTATACATGGCAGTTTATATGTGTCAGTATTACTCTCCCAATTTATTTCACCTTCCCCCTTCCCACTGTGTTAAAATACTGTTTTAAATGAATGTTTAAGTTATTAAGTTTTCTTTAAGCATTATTTAAAGGAACAGATAATGGAGTTATAATGAATTATAAAGAATTCTTTCAATGGCAGAGTGGTAAACATAGTGAATTACTTAGCAGACCCTTACATTATCTTGTTTATAATGTAGTTTCATCCACAAACTTGGAGAAGGAAATGGCAACCCACTCCAGTATTCTTGCCTAGAGAATCCTGTGGTTGGAGAAGCCTGGTGGGCTGCTGTCCATGGGGTCGCACAGAGTCAGACACGAGTGAAGCGACTTAGCAGCAGCAGCAGCATCCACAAACTAAGACAGTAGCATATGGAATACGCCTGCCTTAGGTGTTGCAAAGCTGATTGGCAGATGGCTGGAAGTGCACACAACATGATACAGGAGGACTTCAGGTGACTCCAAAGATGCCTTTGTTTGCCTTAGTGTCATTCAGCAGTGTTCATTTGTCCTTGACCAAAACGGCACAATTATAACTTAGCAGATTCTACTAAACCAAGAACACAGAAAACGAAGCATGATGTGCTTCTTAGAAAATAGGCTATAAACTTCTCTGGGCAAGGTGGAGATATGGTCAGAAACAGATGGGATGTTGTTTATTAGTGTCAATTTCAAGATGGTGTAACTAAAAAAAATTGTTTTTAACAGAGATGATTAGACCACTTATAAAAAATTTTCCCTCAAATCCCGGGATCTTCCTGAATAAAAATCTAGTTATAAGTCAACAAATTACAGCTGTAGTTAAAATGAAGCTATTATTTATTTCTCCTATGTGTATAAGATTGAATCCTGTATAAGATTGAATCCTGTTAAAACCTTTAAGTCATGGTTACCTTTGGTTAGACATTCACTGTAGTGCTCTGACCAGGTCATGACTCCACAGATGAAGGAGGAGATGAGAGTGTAAAGATGATTTGAGGAGAGACAAAGAAAAACGGAAGGCAGGAACATTCAAGGAGTGTATATTGCCTATTTCTGAAGAACGTTAACAACATTTAAGTGTATAAGTGGCTGTTAAATAGAAGTTGGATATTAGCTGTTCTCCATCACCACTACTGCAAGAGAAGCAGACATATTTCACAGAGTTAATATAGGGAAGAATTTTAAAGAGATTGTCAAACAAAGGGCAATTATCAACAGATGATTCAGAATCCCCGTCTCTAGGGATATTAATAGCAAAGCAAACTTTATTACAGTGCTTGGATAGAAGTAGGAGAATGTTCTTTTCATAGCAGATGATTGTCTAGATGACTTCTGAAATATTCTTGTTGCTTTGCTACTAAGATAATAAAATACCTGAGAAACAGGGGTGAAGAACACAGTAGAATTCTCTGACAGTTGATCCTGGAGTTTCTTATAGTTCTTCCATCACTACCATTTTTGATAACCTTCCTTGACTTTTATCTTAAGATTTGATGTGATTTTTTTTTTTTCTAATCTGCAGATTACTCGCCTAAAGATAGATAGGAATCCCTTTGCCAAAGGCTTCCGAGACTCCGGGCGTAATAGGTGAGTCTTAGTTAAAAAAACATTCTGGCTGTGATAAATACATTTTATTTTTATGGTGAATTTTCCACTACAAAGTAAACAGCTAAATTTACTTATGTGGTTTTGAAATCATTTCTGATGAAGTTTAAATTTGTTAATATCATTGAGGCATGAATATAACTTATTTTGGGTGCATCATTGTGGCTTACTCATTTCTCAGCTGAATATTGATGTGAAATGCTGGGGTGAAAACAGAAGTTCTCAGGGTATACAGTGCATGCTGCCTCTGAAGAGGCTTTGTAGAAACCTGTGCCTCCAGGCCCAGGTCCCAAGTCAAAATACTGTCTGCATCTGCTCTTGGTTTAGAATTTGCTTAGCAATGTCACAACTATGTATTGATCTCTCTCCGAAATATGACAGAGACTCTTGTTCACTCAGATTTTCAACTAGAATTTGAAACTACTCCCCACTGCCGAGACAGCTGATGTTCTTTAGTTTCCAAATTTGTCTTGGCTCTACTGACAGCCACACACTTGTTTATTTTTTTTCTGTGTCATGTTTTATGGTGTTTGTACTAAGTGGGAGAGCTGCAGTAATGAATTCCACTCTATTACTCTTTATCAAAAAGCAGATCTCCTTAGTCTGTGTGCCACGAGTTTTTGAATTTATTGATATGATTCTATTCCAATAGAGTTGGTGTGACATTTTCTAAAATATTTTATAACTGTTGATAGTAATGATAGACTAATGTTCTCCAGATGCCCTCTCTGGGTAAGAGTTTGACTTAAATGTTTTGAAAAGCATTTTGTTTTTAAAAAGTATTTGAGACATTTTTATCACTTTATTCCAGACATTATTCTAATACTTAAAAACTTGGTATTGATAAGCTGTGGCTATATGAGGTCCAAACCCTCTATTATCTTATTTTAGAAACAGTTTCGCTTAAAATTATAGAGAGAAAACAATCAGGTCGTAGTCCAGACTTTTAGTTCTTTCAGATGATTAGCTGAGCAAGGTAAGCATAGACAGAGACCTTTTCTCAGAATAAACTCATGTGCCTGCAGAAAGACTTGATTTCATCTTCATGTGCAATGGTTCTTTTATTTATTTTTTTTCTTTTTCAGATTATTTTCTATTGTGGTTTATTATAAGATACTGAATATTCTGTGCTATACAGTAGAACGCTGTGGTTTGTCTATTTTATACATAGTAGTTTGTATCTGCTAATCACTAATTTATCCCTCCCCCTTTGGTTCTTTTAAACACCATGTACTTATGAGGACTGGGCATCACCGACCTGATCGACATAAGTTTGAGTAGGCTCTGGGAGTTGGTGATGGACAGGGATGAACTGCGTGCTGCAGTTCCACGGGGTCACAAAGAGTCGGACATGACTGAGTAACTGAACTGACTGAATATGAGGACTAAAATGTTTGAGAGTAGAAGAGCCTCTAATTTAGCGCATGCAGATCAATAAGACTGACTAATAATGCAGCTTCCCTTTGAAATCCTTCACTCTGTAGGAAGATTTCCAGGTGTTCCTACCATACGTCTGCTGTGCCGAGATTGTTCTATTGTTTTAGATGTCTTTTTCCATGTGGAGAAAAACTTTGCTTGGCTTTTGTTACATCATTGCATTAGCTCCTGGTTAACATTGCTTTTCAGAGGAGTTTCTGAAAGCTGAATAAATCAGTAACTGAGGTGCTTATTGGTGAGGTGACTGAGTTAGCCCCTGGGGTGACTCCTTTTTCGACCTTGACAAATACTTTGATGAAATCTTCTTGTGACTCTTCTGATAGCAAAATATTTATCTATTTAAGAACCTTGCATTGCTTTCAGTTCTTTTTTTTTTTTAAGCAGAGAATGAATTTACTGAAACTCCAGGGAGGCAGCACTAAGACTTGAGACTATACTGTGCTGTGCTTAGTCATTCAGTCGTGTCCAACTCTTTGCGACCCCATGAACTGTAGCCTGCCAGGCTCCTCTGTCCATTTAGATTCTCCAGGCAGGAATACTGGAGTAGGTTGCCATGCCCTCCTCCAGGGAATCTTCCCAACCCAGGGATCGAACCCAGGTCTCCTGCGTTGCAGGCAGATTCTTTACTGACTGAGCCACCAGTCAGCCATGCCAGGAGTAATTCAGGTTCTCCTGGAGGATGGCTCTAGCAAAGACCTCACTGCTGTTGACATTGTGGGGTCACATGTCTTGAACACTGTCTTTTTTTCCCTTCTACTTTTATTGAGATGTCATTGACATACAGCACTACTAGAGTTTAAGGTGTACCACATAATGATTTAACTTACATACATCATGAAATGATTATCACAGTAAGTTTAGTGAACATACATCATCTCATATAGGCATAAATTAAAGAAATAGAAAAACAGTTTTTTTCCTTGTGATGAGAACACTTATAATTAACTTACTTATATAACATAGAACAGTGTTAATTATATTTATCATTTTGTATATTACTGCCAGTTCATTTTTGAAGTGATAACTTTAAACATTTTTAAAGATGTATTTTGGGTGGTGTTTATAGTGGATAAGCCTGTAAATGAAAGTGAAATGATAGATACATATTAGGTTGGCCAAAAAGTTCGTTCAGAATAATTTTCCGTAAGATGTAATGGAGAAACCCAAACAAGCTTTTTGGCCAACCTGATATTGCAAGGCTTCAAAAAGAATTTTAGGTAAGTTGACACAATTAAAAGGTTTTTTTTTTTTTTATCAGTTAAAAAAAATCAAAGGCATTGGTCAAAATAAACCACTAAGCCTCTTGTTTGGTATCATGAGGTCAAAATGCTAGGTTCAGTAGAAACTTTTCTTTCCTTTTGTTGTTGAAGTAGTATAAGCCATTGCAATCATGGAGCTGGCTACTGTTTATTTCCTGATTCTACACCTTTTAAAGTTTTTAATAGATATGCAAAAAATAATGAATTATATCTTAACACTTTTTAAAAGGTTGTTAAACTTTCAAATTTTTATTTTATTCCAACTGTTTAAATAATACCTTGGTATAGGAAAAACCTACTGAACTTATACATAGCTTCCCTGTTGGTGAAATGAATGGTTTCACTTTTTTCTCATTAAAATGAATTCTCCTGCTTATGACAGACAAACTCTTCAGTGCTTATTTTTAAATGCTAAATATCTATGACTCAATATTAAATATCTGTGAATCAGTATTAAATACTTTAACATTTTCCACTGATAAATGCAGAAGACAATTTTATGGAAAAGAGAGAATGTGGTAAGCTTTAAAGATTTCTGACTTATGTGTTATTTTCCTTAAAAAAAAAAAGAGCCGAAGTTATCTATAAGATCAGCAGGGTGCATTGGTGCTGAGGACTTGGGGAAGGGGTGATATGTTTACATATATTAATAGAGAAAAAAGCCCATGAGAAAAAGTGCAAAATATTTCTTTAATACCCCTGATTTTGTTGTACTATTATTACTTTTTAATATACATTCTGTTTTTATTTTTTCCCTATATATGAAATAAACAAATTACACAGAACAAGAAATAAACTTGGACTTGTGATTTTTTAAACTTTATAAAACAATTTGCTTTAATTAAAAATTATACCTTCCTGGCTATTTATGGTCCTACAGCCTATTTTATAGAAATCAGTAGCTTCAGCCCTTAAAAGCGCTCCTGCAGGACATTTGTTACGTGAAGGAGAATTTATGTGCTGAGAATAGTTTCATTCTTCAGTTAGGCCTTAGGGTTGACCCTATAAAATCTTTTACTCAGGAAGGTACAAAAATTTCTTCTCTTTAAATACTTTAGGAAAAAACATAACCATTTTACTAAATAAACTCGGCCATTTGATAGCATAAATTAGGGGGGTGATAAAATGTGGAAATTGTTCAAAGGCATCTTGTATAAATTATCGCCTTGGCTACACTCCTGCAGGAGGTGCCTTTTATCTTTTCTTTAACTAGACGGGAAAAGTCTCCATTACTGGGGAAAATGAAGACTTTTCTTTTTTTTTTTTTTTAAGTCCAAATTCAGCTAATAAATATTTTATAACTGTTTCCTGCAAAATATCTGAAATCCTTTCTGGAACTTGCAGTGTGAAACAGCAGCCTCAAGAAAAATATCAATAGGTCCAAATCAGACCACTTGTAGATCTGTAACCTTCAGAGCATCTCTTTTAAGGCTTAGGATTGCCCATCTGTGAGGATTAGCAACTTCACCCTAAGAATTTGGAATATGGGTTTGTATTTGAAACAGTCAAGTTTACACCACTAATGCAAATACTACACTGATGCTCATCTCCACAGTTAATAAATTTCTAAGTCTTGTAGATGTTCATTAATTGCCTCTTAGTAATTCCCCTTGAGGCCCCTCCAGGACTACTTAGGTATCCTGAATATTTAAAACTGTAATTACAAAAATTCATCTGTGTTTAACAAAGCAGTTTAGGAAAAAACTGTGTCCTAAATTCTTTAACTTAAAAAAGCTTGTTTCTAGAAAGTCATGAAAATTGAGTATTAGTACAAGCTAAAATAAAGTAATGGAATAAACAGCACCCAGCATTCATGAGGGGCTTCCCAGGTGGCGCTGGTGGTAAAGAACCTGCCTGACAATGCAAGAAATGTAAGAGATGTGGGTTCAATCCCTTGGTCAGGAAGATCCCCTTCGTGGCAGCCCACTCCAGTATTCTTGCCTGGGGAATCCTATGGACAGAGGAATCTGGTGGGCTACAGCCCATAGTGTCAGAAAGAGTTGGACACAACTGAAGTGACTTAGCATGCATGCATGCGCAGCATTCATGAGTCTAGTATTGAATGAAACCTGCAGGTTATGTGGGGCTTTGAGATTTGATACAGCTGCCAAACTTCTCCCCAGTCAGTACTTTACATAAAGTATTGTTGAGTAGAATGTTCTTAGACCTGGTTTGTAGTCAGCCACAGATATAATGTCTGGTTTATAAATTGCTTAGTGGTAAACTTTAGGGCTAGGAGAGGACTCAGAACTTTGTATTCTAGTCCTCACTTTGCGGGAAATGGCAGTCCAGGGAGCTCCAAACATTCACTCAGTGTTACAGGGTTGTAGTCACAGCCCAATTCTTCTGACCCCAATCCAGTGTCCTAAGCACTAATTAGTCCTCTCTCTGGGGCACAATGATTCCATCCAAAGCCAGACTCTGTCCTTCATGCTCAGTGCAGCCCAGGGCAAGTAAGGGAAGATGGTTTTATCTGTATGCACAGGTCACTTAGTCTGGGTCTTCCAGGAGTTCCCACCATGTTGTATAGGAGGTGTGACTCTGAAGGAGGTGTTTCTCTAGTTCTTTAGTTCATAGGTTTCTAGTTCATAGGTTATGACTTGGAGATGCAGGGAATCTACAGCAGCTATCACGGGGAGTCTAAGCTGTTAATCATACTCCCTGTCTTTAAATTTGCATTAAACACTCATTATCTGTATTCACTAAAACTGTATCTGACAATCTCAGGAGGTTGCCTTGCACAGTGTGACACTCAGGAATCAGGCATTTTCTTCAGCGAAGCTGCATGTTTCATGGAAAGCATAATGTTACCTGAATTAACAGATTGATTAGGGCTGAGAAGATGGTTGAGGGCAAAGTGGAAAGGCCTTGAGAAGGTGCTAGTTGAGTGAAGGGACTCATTTCTAGGACCTGGAGGACTTAATTATCTGATATACAATAGGGAAGACTCTGAATCACTTACGGTTGGAGATGCATACATTTTTGTGTGTATTTAGAGTAGTCAGCCATGTTTTAACATTTATAGGTATTGCGTGAGTAGTCCATTATGAAGTTATCCTACCTCTTTGTGTCCATTCATTAAGCATGTGTAGATGCTTTACCATAATGTCAGGTGCTAATACTAGGTCTGTGTACCTTAGCGCCCTGTGAGATCACCTTGCTGTGGTCCTCCTGGAGGCTGAGTTGAGAAGTCAGAGCTGCTGCCCTGAGCCTGCCCTGGTTGTCCTGGGGGTGGTGATCATGCCTCGGAGAGAGAAGTCAATTTTCCTTGGATGACTGCTCTTCTCGGCTGGTGATCAAGGCACTGAATGATGGGTAGAAATGCCTCTTTGCAGGAGCACACTTTTGTGGCAGAGCCTTCCTCATTAGAGGGGTAGTAATGTATCAGGGAGAGAGGGTGGTTCCAGATCACACAGAGCCTTGGACTCAGGGCAGCCAGGATGGATGGTCTTCACGTCATCTTCCTAGCACAGGGGGCAGCTTTGTATCCCCTGAGATCATCTCGTTTTTCAGAGAATATTAACAGGACCTGCTGGGTGGTTTCTATCCTCTTGTGCTCTTGGTGACAAACCATTTTTTTTGGTGTGTGTTTGTGCCGAGCTCTTACCCTGACAACGAGGGAGACACTGTCAACACTGGTGGTGTTTCCTGAGCAGCTTACTGTTGAAAACTCCACCTGCTCCTAACTTGGCTTCTTGTGTTCATTCCCTGTCCTGACCCTTCCATTTAGAATGGGTTTGGAAGCCCTTGTGGAGTCATATGCATTCTGGAGACCTTCACTACGGACCCTCACCTTTGAAGATATCCCTGGAATTCCCAAGCAAGGTAAATCATGAAGTCTCCTGGGTCATAGATTTGGTCAGTTCTTACCTAGATGCTGAGGCACTGAAAAATGCCCCAGTTGTTACTATTGTCTAATGGCTACCTTATTACCAACATCTTTCTATTATAAGATCCCTCCCTTTTGTGTCTGGTATAGGTATGGGCCAGGAAAATGGCTAGTGTGGTAATAAGTTAAGTTTTGGATGTTTTAGGCAGTTCATGTATTTCATGACCTTTATTTCACCTTTAATTTTTTTTCCTTAAAATTAGAGGTAGACTAGTTGGCCCTGGTACCAGGTGTACTTCATAAGAAATTGCAGATGCTGCTTCCAGGTCATCCTTTTTTGCCCCCTTCTTTCTTCACTTCCTTCAACTGAATTGCCTCTAGGCAGGTTTCTACTGCTGATTTATGATGAGAAGCTCAGGTACACTGAGGCAGCCTTCCCTGAGATCACTGTTGAGCATTTTCAACAAGCCCAGGGCTGGTGTTTCCTCAAAGAGGCTGCATGAAACAGGATGATGCTTCCTTGTCTACTGGGTAGCTAGGACTCACAGTCCAATCCTGCACTCAGTCCTGCACTTAATGCCTGACCCTGCCCGGCATCCCCATGAGAATTTAGCATTCTAGGTTTTTAGATAATTATCATTGGGTGGATTGGGCTTTTAGATTATTTTGAGAAGCTATATAAAACACTGTCACTAGAGCAATGAAGGTTTTACAACCTGTCCAGCCCATTGGAATTCTCTTCTCTCCCTAAGTTCCATCAAGTTGTGGACATCAATCTGCCAGCAAATCTGGGGGGTGGGGGGCGATCAGCCGCCACCACTGTTATTGATTGGAGGCAGGGTTAAACACCCTCTCTATTTCACAGGACTGTTTATCTGCTGGACCTCTGCTCTTGGGTTAGCATGTGATTCACCAAACCGCTTTCTGTTTGGAAATGAGATTTTTGAAGTTCGAGACTGTTGCCTTATTGTAATAGCCCTGTATGCGTGGTAGTCATTGACCCACAGAAACTTTCAGTGGGAGGTTGCCATTTCGTTTGAGACAGGATGGATCTGGCCAGTTTGGATCTTTCTTTTGAATTCCTTCTTTTTTCTTGCAAGAAAATATATTGATCCAGAACAAACTCTGCTGAAAAAAAGAGTAAAAAGTGGGTAGAAGTGAGGTGATGGTTATACTTTTGGAAAAAATTACACAGTAAGATGAAATTTATATTTTCTTAAGTTGCTGGGAAAGTCAATATTTATAATGTTTATCACAAAATAATGAGAAAACTCTGAGAACATTAATGGAGGGAGAAAATGTGAAAATTTTATGTGGTAGAGTCCTAATACCTTTTGCAAACAAACAAACAAAAACAACAAAAAGCAAACAAATAAACAAAAAAGACCATCCCTTGGGGAGATACTTTTTCTTGAAGATGTTGAGAGTATCTGTGTTTAAAGTCATTGAGTCTAAATTCAAAAACATTACAATTCCTGAGAGTGGAGACCATCTCCTTTTTGTCTTTGTACCTGCTCATGTAACAAGTCGCGTCTAGCTCATGTGTACAAAATTGAAAGGAAAAGAGGCTCTTTACATTTCAACTTCTTTTGTAGGAAATACAGGTTCCTCTACCTTACTCCAAGGTTCTGGGAATGGCGTTGCGGCCACCCACCCTCATCTTTTGTCCGGCTCCCCTTGCTCATCTCCTGCCTTCCATCTGGGACCCAACACCAGCCAACTGTGTGGTCTGGCCCCAGCTGACTATTCCGCCTGTGCCCGCTCTGGCCTCACCCTCAACCGATACAGCACATCCTTGGCTGAGACCTACAACAGGCTCACCAACCAGACAGGGGAGACCTTCGCCCCTCCCAGGACTCCCTCCTACGTGGGCGTCAGCAGCAGCGCCTCGGTGAACATGTCCATGGGCGGCACGGATGGGGACACCTTCAGCTGCCCACAGACCAGCTTGTCCATGCAGATTTCAGGGATGTCTCCCCAGCTCCAGTACATCATGCCTTCACCCCCCAGCAACGCCTTTGCTGCTAACCAGACCCACCAGGGTTCCTACAACACGTTCAGATTACACAGCCCCTGTGCCTTGTATGGGTATAACTTCTCCACATCCCCTAAACTGGCTGCCAGTCCTGAGAAAATTGTTTCTTCCCAAGGAAGTTTCTTGGGGTCCTCACCAAGTGGGACCATGACGGATCGGCAGATGTTGCCCCCCGTGGAAGGCGTGCACCTGCTTAGCAGTGGGGGTCAGCAGAGTTTCTTTGACTCTAGGACCCTAGGAAGCCTAACTCTCTCATCATCTCAAGTATCTGCACATATGGTCTGATGGAGCCTTTAAGTTAAACTACATTCGAATCCAGCTAATGTATTTTCTTTCTTCATTTTCTTTTATTACTTTTTTTTTTCTCTTTGGAAAGCAATATGAAAAGAAACTTACCAAGTAGCTTGTAAAATGTATATATAATAGAAAATGAAGGCTCACTGAGGTTTTTGACTTCCTCATGGTGAGACTGTGATTAGCTATGGTATATATGTATACTGTATGTGGCATGTGGAGTTTGCAGCCTACAAAACCACATCCTCCCTCTATTTTTCTCCCCAGTTGCACAGAGTATTGGCATACATGTAGTATGTTTAACCAAAGTTCTTATACGTAAAAAAAAACAAAAACAGCAAACTTAAAACTTGGCAATGATACTAACCAGACTAAGACGTATAACTTAATTTATCAGGAAAATGCTCTACACAGTTTCCTACTTGAGTGTTGATAACCAGCAGTAACCAGCACACAGAGTCTTGCGATTTGTTATTCTTGGGCACAGTGTGAGAACATAAGATGCAAAAGCCAGTTGAAGTCTTAATAATAATTCTGAGGTATTTGTAATCATGAAGGATTAGCTTTTGTATTCCTGCTTGTTCTTATTTAACACATCTATTAGGTGACTTTGGTCCTGTAAAAATTCATAATCCATAATAATTATTTCCCTAAAGAAGATAGAGAGGCTTGTAATTTTTTCACTTTCTGTCAGACATATAAGAGGTATTTATTCATATGCAGAGAATAAATTTCCAGTGTTTTGGACTTTCTTGGTTTATTTTATTTAGTATCAAGTAGACCAATAAATATTTTAAATTCCAATTTTCACCAGGAAAGGAATATGTGATATGACTGGAATGGCAAAAAGAAAATAAATCCACCTCAAATACTTTGATTCCAATGAAAAATGTCTAACATTTTAAATCAAGAGGAATAATATTTTCTGCTTTCCCTTAGGTTTTTATAGTGTGGTTTTTTTCATTCAGGTTTCTTTTTCCATCTTGCCTTGAGATTCCTGACCCATGATCTAGAAGTAAAGAGAAAAGGCACTTACACTACTTATTTATGTCTCGAAAATTCCTGCAAATTGAAACCTACCCCCTCCCTGAACCTTGTCCTTTTGTCTGAGTCTTTCTCAAAGCAGATAGATTCTAGGCCTTCATGGTGTTAAATAGCGCTGTAAGGAATTTCAGGAGGTTATCTCCAGCAATCTGTCTTTTGGGGGTTGCAGTGCAAAGGCCAAAACCCATTACTATAAAGTCCTTCTTGGAAGACTAAGGAGGAAGATACCAATTATGATAAAGGAGCTGTAAAACTTTTAACCTCAACATCATTTTTAGCCTTGAAACTGAAAAAAAAAAAAAGAGAGAAAAAACAACATTATTTTTTAAAAATCCCCAAAATAATGTGTACATGGTTTCAAAACAAGTAGTAACTTTGATAGCACAAAATGAGATTAATAGGAAAAGTTAAGAATGCAAGGTGAAGAGCATTACCATATATTTGTTGAGAATAAAATTATGTGTCTGGACATGGACTCATTGTGTCTCATGTATTTGTTAGGCAAAAGCAGTAGGGTTTCCTCTCAATGCTAAACAGAATGGCATTATCCTGTCCCTCGTGATGGGGGAACAATGGAGTTCCTAATTTGCTTCTTAACTTTAAAGCAGCATGGATGTTATATGTGTAGGGGGATTACTATTTGAACAGTATTTTCACACAATGTGACTCTGTTTATACATACTGATAAGTTTCCTCATGGGTTCTCTAGCAGTTCGTCAAGTGAGTATTGATCTTTAAATTTAAAATTAGTGTGAAGGTACATGACATATTTCCAATAGTTAGATCTATGTAACATGTTTGTGTATGGTATTAATAGCTTGATAAAGATTTGGGAAAAGTCCTTATTATGAACATATCCAAGCCTCAGAGTCTGGCATAATTTCAGGAGAACAAGAGAATTTTCCATCTTGAGAAAACATGGAAAGTAGTGATCTATTCCTATATATATTAATAAGATGAGAATTTTCCTTTTTCCTCTTTGTGATTTGAGATGATACCACAATACGAGGAGAATTTTTAATCTTTTCCTTTTGATCAGCAATATTGTACAAGTGCTATTTCCTTTAGATTTTATTGTAAATATTAATCATCATGTCACTTCAAAGACTAGCCTTTTATCATTATATTAAATGACATACATGCATTGATAATTATAATTATATATCTGTATTTTATTAAAAAATACTTAAGAAATTATATATTAAAGTGTGTTACTAAACCCTTTTATGACTTTGGAGAGGAATCATTTAAAGTGTCTATAAACGGTGTTCCAAGAATAGGCACACACATGCAGACTCCAAACACAAATTTTGTAGCTTACAATTATAAGGCATGAGGAAATGGGCCTGGTATTCATTTTTCATGTGTTAAATATAATTTCTTGGTGCCTTGACCATGTCATTGAAGGTGAAGCCCTGACAAATGGTGAACACATGAAAATTCAAATGTGAGAAGAGGAGGGCAGACTTGAATGTTTTGTTTTGGGTCCGAGGGGGAAGGGCAAGGATGTAAGAATAAGCTACTTGTACCACTGACCAGTGATGACAGATCACTTTTAGACCCCTTGCCCAGAAAACATTCCAAGGGACATTGTGATGAGGTGAAGTTGTTGCTATCACAACCAGTCACATTTTGAAAATTAACACTTGCTTCCATCCAAGCTCCCTCCCAGAGGTCAACAGCTTTTCTCTAGCAGGGCACCCAGTTGCTGACCCCTGGTTTCTGGAATGTAGGGGGGTCAGGAGACTTTGGCGGCCCCCAGAGGAGGTTGGGACATAGTACTGCTGATATGACAGTGGATCACACACTTTATATTAGTGGAATTTTGAACAGAATGCACCCCACTTTTAAAATGCGAATTCCTCTTGAGACCTCACTCCCAAGATATAAACCTACAAGCAACTCACACCTTAGTATGAAATAGATAGCACAGAAGTTTTGGAGATAACTGGAGGTTTGATTAAGAGAAGAGAGTAAATTTTGGAGTAGGATAGTTCTGAGATTTGGATGTGAAGGAGAAGGTGCAAGAAGAGTGATCACTAACCAAGTCTGGTGTAAAGCCATTAAAAATAATTTCTTAAGTGTTTTTCAGGAGTCATGGTAGAGTTGGTGGGTGCTATGCCGATGCTATCTTCTATTAGGTTTGTAAAGAATCCTCTATTTCAAAGTGTAACTCTGCCAGGTGTCCTCATGGAGAGTTTATTGACTCATCTACATGGAGAGTTTCTTCCACTGGAAATTAAATCCTTTTATTAAACCATTACCACATTGTGTTTTAATCTCATTGATCATCATTCCTTAAAATACGTGCTCAGAGAAGTTGCAGGTGAAGTTGACTATGTGAAGAGTAAAGTAGACATACAGGATTACAGCTGTCTAGGAGCTCAAAGCTTAAAAATATTGTTGAGGGAAATGAACAAATATATATGCATATATATGTGTGTGTGTGTGTGTGTATAGTGTGTGTATATATATATATATATATATATTTCAAGTATAGAAACATCCAACAGAGGTTTATAAACCTTAATATCCATCTACGTGCTGATAGGTTTTCAAATCATGAATTTTCTTTTTTCGGAATTTTGAAGGAGATCATCACTTCCTTGAGAATGAGGGAACCTGATTTCAAGCCATGTATTTCCCAATCATGATTTTAGACAAAATGTAACCGCTTTAGATCTCAGTTTTTTACGTGTTAAAGGAGTGTCTGTGATGAGAAGTTTTACTAGTCCTTTCAGTTTCAAATTCATACAACCTTGGTGTATAAATAATATTCAGCTTAATAACAGAAAAATAGTTTTATAAAAATTTTCAGAGATATGTACAAGTATTTGGATATATATATATATATTTCCAAAAGATATCTTTTTATAAATATATTTAGGTATATATCTTTATAAAGATCATTACATTACCAGGATTTTTAAAAATTTATTGGATTACTTACAACTTTTAAAAATGGAATTGTGCTTTATTTAGTTATAATATGTAAGACATACTTTTATATATTACTATTTGAAGGAAGCTGCACTTAATAATGCATTTACTATTTTATAGTGAACAGAAAAAGATGTTAATAAAATTTCCTTTTCATGATGCTCTTAACTGCATGGTATAAAATTGTTTCAGTTTGGAAATAAGTTAAATAATTATCAGTTCAGTTCAGTTGCTCAGTCATGTCCAACTCTTTGTGACCCCATGGATTGCAGCATGCCAGGCTTCCCTGTCCATCACCAACTCCTGGAGTTTACTCAAACTCATGTCCATTGAGTTGGTGATGCCATCCAACCATCTCATCCTCTGTCGTCCCCTTCTCCTCCCACCCTCAATCTTTCCCAGCATCAGGGTCTTTTCCAATGAGTCAGCTCTTCGCATAAAGTGGCCAAAGTATTGGAGTTTCAGCTTCAACATCAGTCCTTCCAGTGAATATTCAGAACTGATTTCCTTTGGGATGGACTGGTTGGATCTCCTGCTGTCCAAGGGACTTGCAAGAGTCTTCTTCAACACACAGTTGAAAAGCATCAATTCTTCAGTGCTCAGCTTTCTTTATAATCCAACTCTCACATCCACACATGACTACTGGAAAAATCATAGCTTTGACTAGATGGACCTTTGTTGGCAAAGTAATGTCTGCTTTTTAATATGCTGTCTAGGTTGGTCATAACTTTTCTTCCAAGGAGCAAGTATCTTTTAATTTCATGGCTGCAATCACCATCTGCAGTGATTTTGGAGCCCCCCAAAATAAAGTCTGTCACTGTTTCCATTGTTTCCCTATCTATTTCCATCTAGTAAAATGTTTAGAAATGATTCCAATTTGAATTCCAAGTCGTTCAAAGTTTATTTAAGTTTAATGAAATTAAACTTTCATTTAAATGAAAAGATAAATTTTAAAGAATTAAATTTTCATTGGCAAAAAACCTGAATTAGTCTTTTTGAAAGGTTTT